ACTTTGTGATTTACCGTCGACTACTTTTTATTCTTCAATTTTGACTCATTTATGTATCATAGTAGAAACTTTTGATGATCGTCTTTACTTACTTGATGGTCGACTCAAGCAATTGACTACATTTAACGTTAATGTTTATTCCATAGACACTTCGTCAACAAGTGTTCATTATATGGTAAGTTTTCATAGATGACGATGCCACCTGTGAGAGCCAGATAATTAGTACTCCACTGTACCTTTGCTTTAATGTTATACGAACAAAGAAAGTATCGTATAAGTACTGATGTATAAGTGTTTGCCATGGAATTTATTGGTAGAAATGATCATCATGAAATGATTTGTCAGATGAGTCATATAGTGAATCGTTATTTTATTATTGATTGATTACATATTATGATATATGAATGATTATAAACATTGAATAGAACGAATTCTCTGCTGTAGCATCAGTCTTTCTGATAGTTGATATACGATAGGAATTTTCACTGAAATTTTTCAATTATCACTAAACTTTCAAAATCGAACTGATCAATTTGTGATTTGCAATTTTTAATACATAGAACTAGTAGTGTTAACGGAGAGTTTCATTACTAGAAATGTGGAGCCAGAGCCAATATTCGGTTGCCATGAACTAAGAAATATAAAGTGACCTATTAGAAAATCGACAGACACAGTCAGTTATCAACATTACTAACGATGCCGAAAAACAATGTTCCATATACGTTGATGTCACTTCGGGAACGGAATCTACGCAGAATGTATTTTTCGAAGAAAACAAAGTTGAGTACAAAAAACATTCTTATCGTAACAAGTCATGATGCTTACGGTTTAGTCTTTTACATTAATGAAGAAATTTGTCTTTTTTCTAGGATATGTTACCTAATCTGAAATGTTTCTCATTAGAATCTTACTTTCAATTTCAACAATATGAAAAAATACCATCGCTTCTTCGTCGTATGCCTTATCTGGAACATTTAACTTTATATCTTTCTATAGCAGATCGAAATAGAATCATCGATGGTACTTGTATTCACGATGATATTCTTGTTTATATGCTTCAACTTCATTCATTCACTTTCTGTATTAATACTTATATTGACATTGACGGTTTATCTCATGATTTGTCTCGTGAACATATTCAACAAACATTGATAAATATCGGACAACAAAATGCATCTTCTATCGTCAATTATCTTAGTAAATGCACAGTCGCATGTTCAATTTTCTCCCTGTCTTTTGCATTTAATTATCTTGAATATCTTGGCAATGCATTTCCAAATACTGTATTCAATTATGTTACATATTTAGTTGTGGACGATGGTGATGCATTTAGACATGAATTCTTCGTTCGAATTGTTCGATCGTTTCCAATACTGAAGTATTTATGTATTTATAATGATGAACCGCAGGGGTCAAGCGATCTCACATTATCATCTGACCATATTCAATCATTTTCAATAATTGAATATCCGCATCATACTTCACTTGATGTGAGCAGTAGCGATACAGGTTACCTTGAACAATTTCTAAATGAAACAAAGGCATATGTACCTTGTCTAACCGAATTGGAAGTGTCTCATCGTGACTTGAAAACGGTAACAAAGAACTTTATAAGAGAAGAAACACGACGGAATTGTGCTAAAGTGAAGAAATTAAATACTGCTCAACCATTGGATAATTCGCAAGATTTCTATCATTATTTTCCTTCGTTATAAATCTATTGTTGTTTTACTTGATTCAATAAACTGGAAAACATGGTAACGGTTGCAATTAGGCTAATGACATTGACTAAAATAGCTACAAGAAAATATCGATTTTTAATTATTGTTTGTTAATTATATTTCACTAATAAATAATTTTTCATTATGATAACATTATGTAGAAATTGATCTACGTATATTCAGTTGTAAGAATAAAATCATTACATTTCATTTTTACGCTTACGCGACTGAAAATATTCGTCAAATTTTCAAAGATTTTCAGTATGTGTTGATAGGGAAAAAACATACCTCTGAAATACAGAAGCGCTAAGGAAAATTCCTGAATAATTGATAAGTGATTATTCCAAGAGTTCGTACAAGTCATATACAGTCCTACAAAAATTGAGATTTCCACCTTCAAATTTTATTATTTTCTTTTATAGTAGTCGTAGACTTCGAACTATCATTTTTGATAATCCATATGCACAACAAACCCGCCAAAGTGCTTTCCAATTATAAGGGTGATCATCACCGTTATTCTTGTTTAGCCGTATCATAATGGGTTCAGTCGATTCCTTTACTACAATCTTCTGTTCTCATACGTCGCAAATAATTTCGTGTAACCATTGAGCGACAGAATAATCATCCATCTACAGAAGTTTCACAAGCACAGCGTCGTTTGTGGCGTTTTTTTAAATAGTTTTTGGTTCTGTGGATATTGGTGGATGGATGTCCATGTCTACCATTGAATACCGCACTCATAGAAAGCTCGCATACCCACACCCCAAGTTCTCTATCAAAGTTTTTTCATACTCAAATGCCATAGGCAAATTATAAGAAGAAAGTTTCTCGAAAAAACCAAACAAGATTGCTTTCAGACCACAAAAAAATAGTGAAGGCTAGATTTTAGGAGTATCTTCTGAAAATATAAAAAATTCTGTATAAACTCAGAGATTGCCCCATTTTTCACGATGTTCCCATAAAACGTCATAAGAATTAACAAAACGAAATTTATCATAGGATTGCAAAATATCTCATTTTTATGATGCCTTTAACTTTTTATGACATGACCGTAGAAAAGGCAATAACCTCTTAATTTATTCAGAATTCTGCAATTTTAAAAGATAATAGTTGTAAAACCTAATTTACAAATCATCTTCTGGAACAGAAGAAGTATCGTGTTTAGTTTTTGAAAAACCTTCCTCTGATACTTTATCTATGAGCTTTTGATATTAATTGCATTTGATAGAGAATTTTATTCGATATTCAAATTCTTATGCAGATTTTGAGCTAAACGCTTAGCATTATAAAAAACACTAAGTTGATCTTCTATGTTTTGATCCGTATTGTATATGATAGAATACAATGCTAGTAGAGATGAATCTTTATATTAGACGAGAAAATACTTCTATCTGTTTCCTATCGATAGCTATTCGATAGGAATGAAGAATAGTTAATACGAATATCAAAAGCTTTTAGCGCAATCCCTGTGGGATTAAAAGTGTGAAACACGATCAAACTGATTTTCTGGAATCTGTCTATCACTGTCAGTGATGGTCGGTGGAGCTTCTCTATTACAGCCTGTATTATGATATATGAAGCCTCTACAAACCATCACAGACTGGGACAGAGAATTCATAAACCATCACAGACCGGGACAGAGAATTCATAAACCATCACAGATCGGGACAGAGAAATTAATTAATTAATTAACCTATCAGCTAATTAATTAATTTCTCTGTCCCTGTCTGTGGGGGAGGGGCCGGCGGATGGGTCCAAATTTCTACCCTATATACTTCAACACTCCTTTCAGATCGTGTTTCACAAAATAAGCAATTAACAAAATTTGGAAAGGGTTTTACAACTAATGACAAATATCCTAAAAATTTCTCTTATGATGAGAATATCTTTTGTTTAAGATTCAAACCTTCATATCTCCAATAGATTCAATTTTTGATTGACTTTTATGTTTCTCTTGAAAATGTTCCATTAATCCTTTAATATTTGTTGCTATTTCACCAAAATTACTATAAAGATTCTATAGATATAAAACAAAGAATAAATGACTCTGATAATTTAATATCGTTTTGTTTTATGTTTGCGTAAAATTCATCACACTCAGCATTCATACTTCAAGTTCTTTTGTAATACCTGATACTTGACTAAGACTAACACGATTATTTTTAATACCAATCAATTCATGAACCATTGCTTAATATGCCCACTAGAATAAAAACAATTCATTTGTATATTTATGTTTTCTTCAATAATATGAATATCAATCCAAACTTGATTAAGTAAAGGAGTAATTGCATCTTCTCGTCGGTTAATAATCAAAACAATTGTTTGATTAATATCATTTGGGTTATGATGCTGTAAAATCAACTTGATGGTTGAGAGTACTAGATTATTTTTTTTTTAAATCAAGAAAATATAATTTGAAAACATAGATTTTCAACTATCATACTGAAAGTTTATCAGCATGTATTCTTGCCATATTTGAAGATTTTTGATAACGAATTGTTGCACTTTCCTAACGTAATGAAAGTAATACTGAAACAAAACCTTGAACTGTTCGACGAAGTAAATTATCATTCCATTCATAATTTTGCTAATAAACAATGAAAACAAAATAAAACAACTTTGATTTTTGTTTTTTAGTTTTTCGTAAATAATTGATTATAACCTGATAAGTATTTGAAATATTAAGTGAATATAAATGTGGATAAGTAGCTAAATAATCTGCATAATATTCTTGTCCAACTCGTACACATTCAAATTCATCAGCTTCAGCTAAACTTTTTATGTCATTCATTTCAACAAAATTAGTGAAATCTACATTAAAATAATTTCCATATTTTGGTTCATGTAATTTACGTACTAATACTTGAATGGTTTCTTCTTTTGACCGTAAAACCAAATGGCACTTGAATGTTTTAATGATTTTTTTCCAGTCATATCAATACGTTCAAAAAGAAAAACTTCTTTTTGAAGAATTTCAGATTATATATATGATTTCCTTCGAAGTGTATTCTTCTTATTGTTTTTTTTTTGATTCACGGTTTGAAAAAAAAGTCTTCTAATTCTTACTAGCAGCGTTTTTCGATGAAGATTTCTGACTGACACTAACACGAGGAACAATGACTTGTATGCCATTACATAATCCAGATGTCAGAGTACATGTTGCCATATTTATAGGGAACTGCAAAATCACTTTTTTTGGTCCCGGTCTGGTCCCAGTCTCGATCTGCACTCGATACCAGTTAAAAATTGTATTGTAGTCAAAAAATTCCGATTTTTGAAATCGAAACAAAGATTAATGAAAATTTTTATCAGAATTGTGAAGAATATTGTTGTTTTTCGAATTTCTGATCACAAAAGTATAATGAATATCCCAATGCAGAATTTAGTTTCTAATAAAAAAAAACGGAACCACATTGCAGACCCCTAGTTAGATCATGTGAGACTCTCCGCTTCTACCTTTTACCAAATGTCCTTCATGTACATCTGCCCTATATTCTTGCGCTCCTATTTCTACTTATCGCCTTTTCACATCGGAATTAACCACCATTTTGTGCGACTTGATTGGTAGAGTCATCTGTTTGTCTTTCTTTATGATTCGGCGAATTTTAGATCCGTTGTCTTGTAGGTTGTTCAAAATATTTTATTATTGACGATTCAATCATTATTGCTGAACCCAATTCAAGTACTCGCTCCTGAATCAACGTGCTTTTGTTGCATCTAAACATCATTAAAATGAGTGAGTTTTTGATAGTTTTTGTGACTAATGCTACCAGAATAGGAACTTTGTCATTTATGACATTTGATTTTTTTATTGGTGAATTTTCTTGGATTATTTCTCAATATTTCTTTCCAATTGATTCTCCTTTCTACATATTTAGAGACAGAAATTACTGAAAACAAAATGGTTACATTCGAATATCACAATGTAGAACGACGAATACTTTTGCACAGAGATGTTCCTCTGCGAGAAATACATGATATTCTGAAATCTGACTTTGGTCTTCCTGCCAGCGCTTCTTTGTTATTGTTCAACATCGTGGGAAATTATTCCGTTTGTGGTTCAACAGCAGGTATTCTCTGGGCTTTAAATGATGCCAAAGTACCCAAATATAGGATTGTTGTTGGTGGTGAAACATCTAAAGGTAAATATGAACTGATGAAAAGAAAGAGCAACATTCATAACCATTCTAAACAACTACACAGTTCCAAGAAAATTTTTGTATGTTAAACTTGTGAAAAACTTTCACATAATGATTTTATACTTGCTAATACAAATGAACTATTTATCATATAATTTTTTGAATGATACCTGAAATTTGAGAAAAGTTTTTCTCTCAGTTATAGACGTAAATAATTTTTTACTCTTAAACGAAATATTATATTTAACTTTTTTAAATTACGGTCAAATATCAAAAGTAGTTGAAAACAATCTTGAAAACATGTTTTGTGTAAAATTCTATTTAGTTTATATGCTCGACGAAAGTTACTTATTATTTCCTATGTTTGAATATTCTCGCTTCCGTATACTTAATAGATTTCAATGGCTTGAAACTCAAAGAAAATTCTATTTGTTTTGATTGTTTTGATTCTCTCGAAAATAATCATTCGAATAGTCGAAAGACATGAACAGATAGAACTCATCGCGGAACCATCGATCGATCAGAAAGTGCCACTCTAAGTCTTCTATATAAGATTTTGATGTCCTTCGAAATATAAAATCGACACATCGAAGTGCTTATCGAATGACTGGTTGGATAGAAGAATTAAAAATTTTGTTTGTCCGTTTCCATTCTAACAGTTTATTTTTCATTTGGAATGTTCATCAAAACTGTTTTAAAATTTAACTAGAGTTTCGTAATGAAATCGATAGATTGAGATGTCTTGTTTTTTTTATTCTCGTCAAAATAGTACATCTCCTAATTCTAACATATTCTTAAAAGTATTTTAAAATTCAACTATGTCTCAGCATACTCGTTCTTTTGCAAAAAAATGGTTAACCGCTAAAAATCGTTCTTTTTCCAGTTTTTGAGCACGTTATAAGCAAAATGGTTGTATAAACAATAGGATATCCAAGTTTTCAATACGAATTCGGACAGTATTTTTCTTCGTATATATTTGAATGTTCAAAAAGTTTGTTTGTTTGCTAACTTTTTTCAGGCTCCTTTTGTCTGACGTGCATGCTAATCGTAAAAGCTTAAATTTGATACCATTTTTACAAAAACGAAACTGCTGTTTTTTCGGATTTTTAATCAATTTTTATATCAAGAAAATGTGATTTTAGCTATTTCCTCTTTGAAGAATGTGTCTTTTTTTCGTTTCAACATTTTTATTTTTAAAACTATTATTCGATTTGTGGCTAGGTAGCTAGATATATAAATATATTCACTTCTACTTATTATCATAAGTCATTTTCCTTGAATTTTTTGTGGAAAATGACCTAAAAATATTCTTTAGATATGGTCGAAAGAAATTTGATCTCGACACACACTGCTATATAAATAGCCAAGAAACCTCTGTATCTACTATTGTAATAAAAATTTCTTATACAGACAAAAACAATTAATCGAAAAAGCATTTAAAAAACATGAGCATTTCAGGATAGTAGTCGTGACGTTCAATTATAATTTAGAAACGTGCACAGAAAATAGATGTGTAAACACGTAAAAAATTTGAAAGTTTTTAGTAGGAGTGGCACTTTCGTGTTCTTTCCTTTTCTAAAAGAAAGTAAAGTAAAGTTGAAGAAGCCAAAAAGAAAGTCAAAAGACAGGAGAAGAAAGTTGATATATTTAGAATGAACATCAAATTTCGAGTGAAACTAGATATAGTCTTCGTTTGTCGAAAATGACTTTTACTTTTTATTTGTTATTGTGCAACCTGTAGGGAAGCTTGGAATCATCCGACAAAAACAATTTTTTTTTCTATGGTATGATGCTTCATTATAGATACAGAATTTAATATTGATTTCGAGTATATCATGTTTGTCAAAAACGAAATAGATATATATGAAAACGCTAGAAAATAGCATAGGATTTCAATCCGTGTTTGTTTGTCTGTCTGGGAATTTACTCGTATCCACGAAGAAAAAGTTACTTCTTGGCTATGCATATTACTCGAATTGTAAATCAAATACTAAGTTTGGTTTTATGATTGAATAAGTACAAGGGATCGTAATGTAATCAAATCGTTTTGCTTTTTTTTGTAGATGGTGAAAAAGTTGAACAGGATGGCTGGTACAAATGGTTTATGAAAAACTATATTTTAAAAGTGTTTGGTAAGTAATTACGAAAGATTTTAATATAGTCTAAAAGCACCACTGAGAAAATAAACGACCTATCTAATTTTTTTGAAGTCATTATGGTTGAATCTCATGTATTAACATCCCAGGTCGATCAACCTGAGCCGTAAACGGCCGTATACCTATCATTCACGGTGAAAAACGGCGACCGTATTTTGTAGTCGTTTACTGTTGCCGTAAACGAAGTTATACGATGAAATACGNGCGGGTTCGAAACGGTTGGTGTGTACTACCGTATACGACACGGCGATATACGGCCGTAATACGGCGCATACCAAAACGTTAAAATACGGCCCGTATGCGGCCGTAAATTCGGCGTATACGGCCGTGTACGTCATCGTAAACGGCCGTTTACGGCCGTATCTAGTCGTCGTAATGCTCGACCTGGGATAGGCCCATTGTTTGTTAGTTGAGTCGACGCAAATATTTCAGTTTTATAGAATGAAATTTGGTTATGAAAACGAAAAATATTGGTGATGCATGTGTGTAATAGTGAATGTTAAAATGTTTATTTTCTTATCGATCTTTCACTTCGTTTCTTTAATTTTATGAAGCTTTTATGACTTAATCTGTTTCTATAGATTTTTTTCTCAGTGTTTTAGAAAGAAAATTATCTAATGTCTGAGTGGATGGAAATAAAATAAGAGATAATCTACTCATTCGCTCGAGACTGATGTTATTTTAATGAAAAAGAAAATAATAGTTTTTAGTTCCACTGCTACGGAACACATCAAACATATTCGCAGCTTTCTCAGTTAAGTTTCATTCCATAAGATGGATATGGATGTGAGTATCGTTGTTTTAACGACGACGGGCCATTTGGTCAATGGAGAATTAGCTTATTTATTTGCGTCGCTATTTCATACCACGAATAATCGACAGTTGCAGCTTGCCTGGCACACTGACATATGATAAATTGACTCATTCTGTTTTAATTCAGTCTATTTTTTTACTTTTTGTGTTGACTTTCTTCGAATCTATATCATTCTTTCTACAGCTGTAGTGGCACTGCAACATTCTTCAAATACTTCTCATTCATCAATCCAGATAGAGCACGAAAGCAAATCAATTTCGTGAAGCTCTAATAGAACCGAACCAAACTTAGGCCCGAAAGTACTATTTCACGTCGAGCATTGTTGACTTATTGAAATTCGACAGACAAACATTTTTTTGGAGACTTTCTTTGTTTCTCAATCACATTGTCTTCAACTCTTCAGTTTGACGCGCTGACTTTTAGAGTTAGCAGACGAAATGAGTGGTCCATATCCTTATTCGATTTGGCATTATGTTATCGGTGTAACTCAACTAAGGATATATAAATATAGAGAGAGATCTTTCGAATTCAGTGTCATCAGTTTCGATTATTGTACGAATCTAGTCAAGATAAGACCGGCATGTAATAAGTTCTTAGTTACATATTTTTAAAATTTAACATAAATTTTAAGTTTTCCATTTTATTTTAGGGTCCGAATATCCTGATGAACAAAAGAAGATCGATTGATCGGCTAATTGTCATCCGTTTTTTTGTCTTTTCGAATTTTTGAAATTAAACAAATGCTGCAATATAATGTTTATCTTCTGCTTGTGATATAAAAGAATATTCCATATTCTCGTTTCATCATCAGAACAATTATTATACCTTAAACAACCAGTCGACTATAATCTATTTCATCACTTTACATTAATTCTATTGTAAACAAAACCTGATATTGCAATGTTCATAGACCTAGTAAAAAGTTTTCGTGTTTCCACATCAGATCATTGACACAACTGATATAGATCCTGTAAGGATTAGCACTTTTGTCCAGAAGAAATAAATAAATCCTGAAAGAAATGGGTCGCCACAAAATTTGAAGATCTTTGAAAAATCTTGTCAGATTATTGCCAATCTTTCTGCAGAATTCTCTTTGGATTACTCAGTATCTTGCTAAAACATTTTCCAGAAATCGGCCAAGAACAATCCAATGTCATCAGACGTCCATTTAAGCTTCCTGGCAGAATGTACTAAGAATCTAAGATTATCTAAGGAGAGTGTGGGTATGTGTTCGGATGTACATGTTTTATCCTAAATCTGTTTCTGACGCATACCTACACCCGTTTCTGAGTTATAATTAAGGAGTACTTTTAATTAACTCTACTCTTATATTTATGATCATATCAGTAGATAAAAGACTGAGAAGGTGATGCTATCATCGTTTTTTCGATGACTTCCTGTAACTATTATCAGACAATTTTGACTTTCTCGGAAGTACGTAATTGGTCTTTTAAGAAAAATAAATCGATACGAAAATTTTCATGAAAATTGATCTATATTGTGGTATATTGTCATATGCTTTTCGGAATCTTGCTAATACTTTATAATCGACATATTTATTTACTAGAAGATGCATCTTTGGAGACTCTAAAAACCTGCATCAAATTTAGGTCAGATTCTTTACACATAAATGCATAACAGAAGCAAGAAGAGTAAACTTTAATCCATGTAAAATTGACCAAAACAAATTTATCTATTTCATCTATTGTAATGAATATTTTCGTTTTACAAGGCAGGTTATGATGTACATAAAATATTAAGTTTTGTAAAGAAGCGTCCACTCTATCGATGGGTACAGTTCGATAATGATTTAGATCAATAATTCTGTGAGAAAATCTTTGTTAACAAAAATAATCGAAAGCCATACTCTTTGACAGACTGATATTCTGAATCAAACTATTAGGTCACTGACGGTGTGGATTCGTAGGAGACCTGTATTCTACCCACACCCACATCAGGTAAATAGTTGTTCTGTTATTGGTTGTGACGAAGGCAGTTTTATATGCTGTAGTTGATGCAATGAAGCTTTGTATTTTCATCACTTTGTTGTTGATCACAAATGTATTTAGTTCATATTGTTCGCTTATTTATAAACTGCTGTGCTTTAATAAGCGTTGAAAATAATTCTAATTATTTTCGTTCAACTGTTAAAAGCAACAATTTATCCATCAGATAGATACTCAAGTAAGGTATGCTAATTTAAGATAAAAAAACTCCTTCATATCGATTTTCGTTCAATTTCTACTATATTTAAAAAAAAATTATTTATCCGTTTAACTCTTACAAAAGTGACATACGATACGTTTTATGGTGGCACTATGTTCAGAAACAAAACGATGCTTGATTCTGTCGGTTTTTTTTGTGTCAACTTCAATGCGAGCAACCAGGATATTGATACTAGTGATATTCGCTAAAGTCCCTATAGGGTGTGGATGTGGGAGTGTATTTTAATCTGCAGGACTCAGATCCACACCCACACCCCAACTATTGGTGAACTCTGACTTGGTGCAGTGTTTTCGCGGAACACGAGTGTTCATGTTGAGTCACGTAGATATTGTCTCACAATTAATGACGAGGAGTTTTAGAATCTAAGGCTGATAATGAATGGAATTAATGAATTCATTTGGTCAAGTTAAATCGAAAGATTTTCTCAACTTTATTAGATACTGATCAGTTTTTACTTACTCTCTGTTTCGTTTTGGAAAATAAATACAAAGCGTTTCATTAAGTCAGATCACAAATTGAACCGGTGTCGGTACGGATTTCCGACCGGTCGGTAACCGGTCTAAATTGTTTCCTTTGCTTAGTTTATTATAAGTATTTATTCAAAAGTTCTTGTTCATAATGATATAATGTGGTCCATGGATGAGCTTTTTCTAGTATTAACGAATCCTCGTTTGGTCAACCAGTTTTTCTTAGACTAGTCGGTACCAATAGACGGGTATCAGTAATCAAAATCTAGACTAATTCCAACGCTTTCACAAAACCCATGCGTGTGTACATTGTAACAAAAAACTTTCAGTGCAGCTGCTTGCAGGGCTAAAATGTGGAACTCACATCCTCTACTCTGCGGTACGATTTGTTTCATTGCTACCATGTACTAATGATAATCTGTAGTAAACAACTTGTTAATTGAATGGATAGGGTTTCGAACTAGAGTAAATCTGGGATTTTTTAAATTCATTTTATTAAAGATGTAAATTGTTCTATAGCAATTCATAGTTTGTTCGTTTTTTTTAGTCGTCTTCTACTGATGATAAGCCGGTGGTATTTTGTCAGTCTTGGTTACTTATAGGATTATTCTTTACGTTCTTATTTTGTATGTCTATATTATTCATTCGGATCTTTTTTCCATTGTTCAATGATTAATAAGATCATCTAATTTGAACAGCTCGGTGGTTTGTATTGCTACTGTCTTTCTTTATGTTCATCATTTTTTTCTACTTACACAAACATAAAAAGAATAGATGCTCATCTGTTTTATATCGAAGTAGTTGATTATAGGATGTAACCTTATAGGTGGGCAAGTAAGAACATCTTCGAAACATTATATTTTTTTATTTTACTGTGTCATTCATAATAATGCGTGTTTCAATCTTTCCAAGATTGATTCTAGATAAATCATCTTTTTGACGATGAAATTTTCTGATCTTTAAATTTTAAGTCTGTTTTTCACTAAAACTCAAATGAATAAAAATATTGGTCTTGCTCAATATCTCTATGTTGATAATACCCCAACTGATACTCATCTCATTCGACTGCTGCTAGTGGTAAAGATAATCTTTACTATTTTAAATTCTTTGATATTTTACGTGTTTCAGGTACTTATCATTGGCATGCATCGCATATGATATTTTTTCTGTTTCGAATAATTTTGATGTTGAAATTGTTCCATATGCTAGGAGCATTGATTGTGAAAAAAATAAAATGAATCAATAGATGTCGCTTCATTTACCTTCAAACGGTGTATTGTCATACGGGAGGACCATTTAACATTTACGATTGGTCTAATGTAATATATCAACCGTTCTGCTTCTTTGCTCTACGACGTGTCATATAGCTTTGGGGGTCGTGAGTAATCAACAAAAAAAGCGTACCTTTATACTTGACGAAGAAGAAATGCCGTGAATAGAGGAAAAAAGAATAAAAAATCAACAGAACTCACCCACTAGTGTTTTATTTTAAAATTGATAGCAACATCATTATTGTTTATGTTTGCCAGGTTGATGTATTAATTGATTTGTCTTTTTTTTCCGTTGTGGTTTTAGATTTTGCAATGAGCGATGAAGTAAAAGCTGATGTTGATTCTCAATCTGATGAAATCAATCAACGAGATGAAAAATCAGAAGAATTAATTCGAAAATTACCTGTGAATGATGACGAAGAGAATGAATTAGAACTTTTAACACCGAATGGTCGTGAAACTCCATCGGCAACGTCGTATTCAGATATAATTATTCATAAAGTAGATGAAGAAATACCAGTTGCTGAAGAGAATTCAAATGTAGATGATACTCAACAACTACTTGAAACTATCGCCGATAAATCAAACAAACAAGCTAGTACTATTATATTCAACATGGTAGAAAAAAAATTGTTTTAAATTTTCTCAAAATTAAATTTCTTTTTTTCCATTTTAGCTTGTCGAAGGCGATTTTGATTTAGATAAAAATTATATTATTCAAAAGCCAAAAAATCTCGCAAAATTATTTTCTATTTTGAATAAAATGTCATCATCGTTACAAGCCGAAATTCTCAGTGTACTAATCGGTATAATGCGTAAAAGTGAACGAAACTTATTGGCTTGTATTGATGCAAATATATATTATAAACTGTTCGAACTGCTAAATGATATTGATGATATTGTAGCTGATTTACTAGTTGATATTTTAACTGTATTAACATCGTTAACAATCAATGTTAGTGAACTAAAACTTCTTTTGCGTTATTTAAAAACTGAAAATAATGTTTGGGTAAGCTTTTATCAAATTTCTTTCTTTTTCTGCATTGTAAATTCGATTGAACTTTAGAAAAAACACGCGGTTAAATTATTGAATATATTCAAAAGTTTTCCGTATCGACATGGCCCAGATGATTTCTTTAATTTTCCCGGTCGACAGGATTCCGGTTTAGTTTTACCGCCGATTAAAACATGGCCATATCAAAATGGTTTCACGGTTTCAACATGGTTTCGCATTGATCCCGTAGCGAATAGTGTTATTGAAAAAGAAAAGCCTTATCTATATTGGTTTTGCACTTCGAAAGGTCATGGCTATGCAGCGCATTTTGTTGGCAATTGTCTTGTAATTACGTGCGCTAAACCGAAAGAGAAAAATTTTCAACACTGTATACAATTCGAATTTAAATCACGTGAGGTAATGATAATGATTAGTAATTTGACTTTATGGTTTTATTGCTCAGATTTGTTTTTCGTCCATGGAATTTTATCACTCGTTCTGAAATTAGAAATAACATCATCATGATCGAGAATAATTGAACTTAGTAGGTTTTGTATTTAAATTAGGCTATATGAAATTTGTGAAAGGATGCATTAGTTTGCTTAAATATCCTTGAAAACAAAAAATGTGTTTTTTCTTCGCATGGTGGTGCTTGGTATAAGTTAGTTCATCATTTTTATTGTATGATTTTTTAGCTTGTAGAGGTTATTTAAAAGGTATTGGCCTTTGATCAATATTTTTATTGTCAATATGGGTTGATTTTATAGAAATGAAGCATGATAATGGGATTTAAAAATAACCAAAACTTTGCTTTTTTGTTTTCTGTAGTTTATTTCAGGGTAGCATGTAATGAACTAAGAATTAGATTTGATTTTTCTTCTATTATGAAAAAATCAAATATATCATTTAGCATTATTTCCTCGGAACTTGATAAATTTTCCTATATGAAGATCTGTAAAATAAACTATTTCTTTTTAGTGGTACATGATAACAATATCTCATCAATATCAACGTTGGGCTAAAAGTAGTATTCAATGTCATATCAATAGTCAACTTGTGTCGACTGCTTATTTTCCATGGAGTATCGAAACTAGTGACCCGTTCGATAAATGCTACATTGGTTGTACACCTGATCATAGTGATTTAACAAGTTTCTCGGGCCAATTGTCAACATTTTATTTATTCAGTATATATTTGGAGCCATTGATTGTTCAAGGTCTATATAAGCTAGGACCTGCATATAAAAATCAATTTAAATTTGAGAATGAAAGTGCACATATATTGACTGAGCCACAACGCAAGGCGATGTACGATGGAAAATTAATGAATTCCATTGTATTTAATTATAATCCTGTTTCATGCGATGAACAACTTGTTTTACAAGCAGGTCCAAAAACAAATATGCCCTATTTTGTTCACAATGCTCATGCGCAAATGTTGAGCAATGTTCGATCTGTTGTAGCCCATTCGATTTACTCAACCTTACATTCAATCGGTGGTGTTCAAGTATTCTTTCCGCTCTTTGGTCAATTGGATCACGAGCAAATTGATGGATCGATTAATTATAATGTTTGTTCAATACTTCTGTTTACTTTATGTGAATTAATTGAACGATCATATACAATTCAACATCAAATGCTTACTTCGAAAGGTTTTCTCATGATTGGCTATTATCTTGAAAAGGTATAGACGACGATTTACTTTACAATTCGATAGGGAAACGATTTTGTATTCTTGTCGGTAAATTGGATATTTTTTTCTCCCATGAGTGCGAAAGATATATTGATCTGATTCATCAATTCCGTTGAGTATACATTTCGATGCTCGGACACATAGTAGTAAAATATTAAATTTTGTCGAGTTGAATTTTCCAAGTGATAGATTTAACTTTGACTAGGATTGAAATGTCAATATTTTTTTTTTTCATTTCAGTCATCAAAACAACATATCAATATGGAATCATTGAATTCTCTTATCTCATTAATAACATTTTTTATTAAAATTCAGAGTAAAAATAGCCCATTGTTACTAAAACAATTATTTACGCACATTTTTTTCAACCCATCTATTTGGATCAATTGTTCCGTTTTCGTATGTATTTATTATTTGCTTTAAACAATTCTAATTATATCAAAATTCTAGATCCAAATGAGATTGTATACCTATTTAGCAACAGAATTTGTTTCCTATAATGAAATGTATGATTCAATTCGTCCAATCAGTGGAATTATTCAAACATTAAATACACTTAAATATGTCTATTGGATTGTTGAGCCTACTCGTCCAAGTATTTATCAAGCGAAAATTTTGGGTAAGAAAAAGCACCGGTTAGCCCCCATAGAGCGTCGCGCTGACACAAAAAAATACTCAAATAAAAATTATATTTTAGATGCCGATCGACCAACACGCGAGCAAATTGTTGAAATGAGATCGTATATGCTATTGTATATGAAACAACTTGTTATAAGTGGTCCAGGTACACAAGAAGAAGAACTTCAAGCTATACTGAATTATCTTCATACAATCAATGAAGTAACGAAGAGAATGTTTATTATTAAAAATTACAAATAAATTCTTTATTTTTTCTAGGATGAAAATATCATTGATGTATTAGATTTAGTTGTTAGTCTAATGTCGGAACATCCAAAAAATATGGTTCCTGCGTTTGATCGTCGGCTAGGATTGCGGTAAAAAATCAATTGAATTTTTTTTACTCTAAACTCATTCATTTTCATTTAGCACGGTTTTTAAATTACTTGAAAGCACCAAAGAAGGAATTCGTTTGCAAGCTTTAAAATTATTAGGATTTTTTCTTCAAAGAAGTACAATTAAGTATGAATAGAAAAACAAAACTGCCTATCTCTTGGATATAAAATAAATTTTTAGACGTAAGGCAGATGCTATGCAACCACATAATCTATTTTCATTATTGGCTGATCGACTTTCACTTCATTCAAATGCATTCACAATGGCTACTTATAATATTTTATTCGAAGTGCGCATTATTGTTTACGCTGAGATTTTCTAAAAACTCTTCTTCTCTAGATACTCGTGGAAAAAGTCAGTGGGCCCATCGTTGAAAAACGTAGTTCGGAAATTACAAGTGATTGGAAGATTGAAAATTCCGGTAAGGCAAAAAGGATCGTATCTTCTAACATGAACTCACGATTGATGTGATAATTTAGCAATGATCAAAGTAATTGCAACGTTACTTCGAAATTCACCTGATAATGTTCATTTATACGATATAAAATCTCGCTTTCTTGATGATATGATTTTACTTTCATCGTCAAGTCGAGAAAATCGAAGGTAAAAAAATCATCTGATCTCATTATAGAATTTCTTAGATATGCTTTTTTTAAGGGTGATTTTACAAATTTCCGTTTGGCAAGAATATCTATTGGGTCTTGCCTATGTTTATCCATCAAATGAACAACAGGTCGCTGTTACCGATCGTGTTTTTGAATTATTGAAAATTTTATTACATCATGCTATCAAATATGAATTTGGTGGATGGCGAGTTTGGATCGATACACTTTCGATTTTACACGGACGAGTAAAATTGATAACTCGATTTTTGCTTTTTGTATAAAATATAGTTTTCTGATGATTTTCAGGTAACAAAAGAAGATTATTATCGAAAGATAAATAAAATGGTTGAAAATATGAAGGATGATGATGAAAATGAAGTAAGCGTTTCTTTTCCCCATGAATCGATGGTAGATTGTGTTTTCTGAAATTTTTAGCCAAAAACGCCAGTTTCTACACCCACAGCAAGTGGCTCGGGAACACCCTTTGACGGGCAATCAATTGTAACACCGACTAGTAAGTTAAATTGATTTGTCATGATAAGAAAAGAACAATTTTAACTATTAAGAGTCTGTATCGAACCGTCAAGTATTCAGTAAAACGAATCAATTACCACCATATACAATATCGGAATTTAAATATTCTCCATTGCACATTCGTCTGTTACATAGTGTTTTCGATGCAATCGAATCGGATGTTCGTGCATGGAAAGCGTAAGTCTTGAAAGATTCTTTGATAAATCCAATAATGCTTTTGTTTTCTCTCTAGTGAGGCTCCTAAACCAATTACTGATTTTATAAATCATTCAGATAATCAGATATTTTGTGCTAATATAGTACATATTATTTCTCAAATGGCCGAAATTTTATGTAATGCATGTGGCGGTCTGTTGCCATTACTTGCTAGTGCAACATCAGCATCGGTAAAAGAAGAATTTATAAATAAATAAATTCAATTGTACGATTTTAATTGTAGCATGAAATAGAAATATTAGAGAATACAGAAGGTTTATCACCATTGAATGCGATGAAAATATTGAAGCGTGTCATGAGTCTATCAGATTTATTTATTCTTGCGAATACGTCGAATTTTTCAGAGCTTGAACAAGAAAAAAGTATGCCGACGGGTGGCATTCTAAGACAATGTCTTCGTTTAAGTAATGAAATTCCTATTGGCTTGTTTTTCAAAATTTCTCACTGATGTATTTATTTCTTATAGCAATGACAACTGCTGTTCGTCATTGTATGGAATGTCGTTTTCAACGGTTTGATCGATCATTCGTATCGAAGCCTTCGGAACCACTGTCACCACCACCTCCATCAGCAAAGCCTGCAATGAAAGATCCGATTGAATCGATCATTGAATTAACTTATCTCATGAATTCATCCCCGGAAAATGTTGCGGATGAAACTATTGAACGTTTAGTTGCATCGTTTATTAAAAATCCTGAATCAGTTTTACAGGATATTGATATTCAACGTTTACGTGCTATTATCTATCGTGACGTGGTAAGACAAAATCGAAGTAAAAATGGCAAAAACGTTGTCGTTGTCGTGGTAAATTTCATCAGTATTTTTTCTTTGCTTTATTCATTATGTGCTCATTCTGTGTTTCGTATTTTTCCTATTGAATTCGATCTAATGTATATATATATATAATTCTATCTAGGATGATACAAAACAAACGCAATTTTTAGCTTTATCAATTGTTTATTTTGCATCGGTTTTAATGGTATCACGATATCGAGATATTATTGAAACAAATCAGGCATCGCTATCTCGAACAGCTTCATTTATGAGTGCAACAAATAGTATTCGAAATGGTCAGAATTAGTTTTTCTTAATAAATCTCTTTGTTATACGATTCATATAGGTTCAATTATGGAAAGTAATACGGATGCAGCTAGTTTGAATGGTTTAAGCTCAATTGTAGCGCCCATAACAAACAATAATGTATGATATTGATAGTTGAACGAAAATGTTCTTATGATAAATGTCGGTTTTCTATTGATAGAGAAATTCCAATGAAACAACATCCTATGATGATCGAGCTAATACTGGAAATGAAACTGACAATGCTGATTCGCAATCAGCTGATAAAAAATCTGTCGATTTAAATGCTGCAACTAGTCAATACAGTATGGAATTAAGATGAAACTTAATCCCCGTTGAAATATATATAAAATGCTGTTTTTTTTTCTATTTTAGCCAGTATAGCTAGTATACCCATAAGCGATCCATCGACAGTGAATCAACGTCGAATGTCTGAATCAAAACTTCCGGAATATCCGAAAACAAATTTTGATTCGAACGAACCATCGGCTATGAATATAACTGAAAAATTAGAACGAACATTATTAAATGTAGCACCATTTTTGCGCGATATATTTACTGAATTTTCACATATTCTCACAAAAACATTAGTTGGTTCACATGGACAAGAATTATTGCCCAGTGGTTTACATGCTCTTAAAGAAACAGCATCGGTTGTTGAACTTGTTATGCTTTTATGTTCACAAGAATGGCAAAATTCACTTCAAGTAAAACATTTTTGCTTCTTTTCGATATAATGTTTTGCTAAAACTATTCTATTCGATTTTTAGAAACATGCTGGATTAGCTTTTATTGAACTTGTCAATGAAGGACGTGTACTTGCGCATGCGAGTAAAGATCATGTTGTTAAAGTTGCCAATGAAGCTGATTTTATACTTAATCGTATGCGTGCGGATGACATTCGAAAAGCAAGTGAATTCGAACAATTAAGCACTCAAACAGCTTCGGAACGTAAAGACGAAGAAGAACTTTGCGACCATTTCATCATGGCATCACGCCAACGGCATGAAACCAATGCATCACGTTTAAGAGAAAAATTTCTCGCGCAAATGATCAACGACAAAACAGCTTATTTGAATAGTTCGAATTCATTCTGGAAATTAGATCCATGGGAAGATGATTTACGACGACGCCGGCGTTTAGTATCGAATTTCGATGGAACATCACATAACGAGGCTATACCAAATTCATCGTCGAATGAAACCGAGGACGATATGATATTAACGTTGACTAAAGAAGAAAATCTATTAAAACAAATCAAACAAAAATCACAAAATTTTCTTCCAAATAATAACGAAGATGAAAATCTATCGCAAGTCGACGAAAAAGATGTTGATCAGGAATTTTCCGGTCCCATACGTTATTCAACGGAATCGTTTTTAATCTGCGGAACTCTTGCTATACGTGGTACTCTAGCTATTACCCATCATGCGCTGCTTTTTGATACAAATGAAGATGATGAAGGTTTCAAAAATCTTGATGAAAAAGTAAAAAGATTTCGAATCAAGATTTAAATAATAAAATAATGTTGTCTTGTTTCTAGATGATTTTCTACATTGATAATCTCCATGGCAAATGGCATTTCAATGAAATACGTGCCATATTCTCTAGACGATATCTCTTACAAGATAAAGCATTGGAAATATTTGTGTCAAATAGAAGTATGTATTCTAAGAGAAAATTTTCAAATTATCTAGTCGCTTTTCACTGCGACCCATCGGACAACAAGTTAGAGCGATTCCACCTCTTCCTTGTGGACTATAAAGAAAAAGTTCCTATCGATAATTTATATGTCGAAAAGTCGCATCTCTTTTTTGATCTACAAATTAATTTATTTTCTAGCAAGTGTTATGTTCGCATTTACTGATCGTTCAATTGTTAAAAAAGTTGTTGGCCTTTTACCTCGAGTTGGTGTCGGTGGCCGTTATGGATTACCACAGCAACGGTAGATAGATTTATTTTCTTGATTATTATTTATCGTAATGATTTTTAATTAGACGAACATCATTAGCATCACCAAAACAGCTGTTTCGTTCGGCTAATATGACGCAACGATGGCAACGACGTGAAATTTCTAATTTTGAATATCTTATGTATCTCAATACGATTTCAGGTAGTGTTTTTTGCCGGGGAAAAAGAACAAGCATTCGTTTTTATTCTACATTCAGGCCGAAGTTATCAAGATTTAAATCAATATCCAATATTTCCATGGATTATAGCTGATTATGAAAGCGAAAAGCTTGATCTAAATAAACCGGCAACTTACCGAGATTTATCCAAAGTAAATATCTTCTTGTGAAATTTGTTTTTCATCTCTACTCTTCGCTTATTCTTTTAGCCTATTGGAGCATTGAATCCTGCAAGAAAATCGTTTTTTATTGAACGCTACAACAATTGGGAATCAGATAGCATACCTGCATTTCATTATAATACTCATTATTCGACAGCTGAACTTTCACTTCATTGGCTTATTCGACTTGTAAGTGAAATAGTTTTTGCGAATGATCACATGTTGTTTTCTTGCTGTTTTCAAGGAACCATTTACAACATTTTATTTAAATTTACATGGAAATCAGTTTGATCATGTCAATCGAACATTTCAATCGATTCCTCTATCGTGGCAAAATTGTCAACGTGATTCATCGGATGTTAAAGAATTAATTCCGGAACTTTTCTCCTTACCGGAAATGTTAACTAATTGTAATGATTATGGATTTGGTAGCGATGATGATGGTGCTAAAATTGATGATGTTATTTTACCGAAATGGGCTCAAACATCAGAAGATTTTATTCGAATTAATCGAGCGGTACAAATTTGAAATTTAAATAAAATATTTCTTATGTTTTGCTGTTTTCTCAGGCTCTTGAATCTGAATTTGTTTCGTCGCATTTACATCAATGGATTGATTTAATTTTTGGTTATAAACAAAGAGGTCAGTCAATGAAGTTTTGTTTTTCTGTTCTCAATAGTTTCAAAATTTAATATTTTAGGACCAGAAGCAATTCGTGCTACGAATGTTTTCTGCTTTTTAACCTACGAAGGTACTGTTAATTTCGATGCTATTACCAATCCAGCCGATCGTGCTGTTCTCGAAGCACAAATCAAAGTTTTTGGTCAAGCTCCATCGCAGATTTTAACTGAACCACATCCACCACGAAACTCGGCCATTGCATCCGTAAGTGAAACTCTCTCGTATTCCCTTCATGTAAGTCAATTTTTTTGTTGCATTTAGAATCCAACTATGCACCATGTGTAAGTAAACTTCTTTAAAGCAAACACGACAGTTTTATGTTTGCTCTTTTAGTTCGCCTGAAGATGTATCGATGATAATGAAATTTTCATCAAATGCACCCATTATTCACGTAGCTGCTAATACGGCACCAACCGTTCCAGCACAAGCAGTAATTACAATTAGTAATAAACATGATTTTTCAATTAATAAATATAATCAAAATGCGGGGCCATTACCGTCAGCTTATTCCGAAGCTGCACAGACATTAACCGGACAACAAGCGCAACTACCATTAAGCATGGATTCACTTTTAAGTAAGAAAAACAACAACTCTATTGATCATTTTCTGGCTATATCAATAATTCGTTCTTTTTTTTAGTATTAAATACAGGCTTACATCGTCGTCATCTTGGCGATAATTTCGATGAACGCATTTCGCAACGTCATCAAAGTTTTGTTGTTACGGCCGACAATCGTTTTATAATCTCTACTGGTTATTGGGATAAAAGTTTTCGCGTACAAAATACTGACATGGCAAGAACGACACAAGTACTTTATGGTCATTTCGATATTGTTACATGTGCATGCCGTTCGGAAATAACAATCGCCGGAAATTGTTTCATCGCTACAGGTTCACGAGATTCTACAGTTTGCATTTGGATATGGAACGGAACAAAAGGGGCCATTGTTGATAAAGAATATCCAAATCAAGGTACGATAAATTTCCAGCAGAACTTTATCTAGGTTTATTTAAAAACATTTTAGAAGTAAATCCATCACCAGCGGCAATTTTAACAGGTCACGATACAGAAATCGTATGCATTTGGATATCGGCTGAATTGGGTATTGTTTTGAGTGGTAGCGAGCATGGTCTTGTCCTTCAACATACACTTCAAGGTGAAATTTTACGCGCATTTGAAAATCCATCGGATATGGCTACACCGCGCCTTCTATCACCGTCGAATGATGGAGATATTATTGTTTGTTATGATCGATCAAAATTATCTCTATACACTTTAAATGGAAAATTGATGCGCCAAGCAATTTTCGAAGAAGAAACAATTCAAGTAAGAAGTTTTCTATTACTAGGAAAATAAATCGATCGGATTATTCTAGAGTTTGGTATTGAATGCCGATGGTCAATATACGGTTATTGGAGGTGATCGAGGTTTCGTACAAATTATCCGTACACACGATTTACAACCGATCTATGCGTATCCGCAGTGCGATGCTAGTATTCGTTCATTGGCTATTACTCATGATCAAAAGTAAGAACCTGCCAGCTAGACTTATTCATCAGAGAACACTTTGTAATGTTCTTCTTTATTTAGATACATCATAGCAGGCCTATCGACAGGTTGCTTAATTGTTTTTAATGTCAATTTCAATGTTCTTAATCAACCTCGACGTGATCCAACTGGTACAGTTACAAACTCAACAAAACACATTCAATAATTTTTTTACTCAATTTTCTTGTATGTCGTAGTGTGATTTTTCCTATCTCGCGTTTATTCATGCCCTACTCTACACGTATGAATCAATGTTTGCTAATCTATGCGCTTTCGTGTGTGGCTTTATTATTATTATTATTATTATCTAACTTTCTCGAAACATTCCAGAGTTTTGTTTGTGCATATTATGTATATTAATATTTCTTGTTCTCTGTGAGAGAGAGAACTGGGGAAAAAATCAGAATTTGAAAACATGCTGCTATTGAATTAAAAAATAAAGCAAGCTCTCCAGTGATATTCATTTTGTTTCATTGTATTTCTTTAGGTTAATTTGTAACTTGAAACAACTTTAACTTGACTATCTTTAATATTTCGTTTGTCTATGGATTTTTCTGTGAATCGCTCATTCCCAACACTAAATCAATGGTTCTTTTTTGTTTCTGCTTCTAAACACAGTTCACCGCATTCCGTTTGTTTTATTATTTTTACTGCTTTGTGTTTCTTGAAACTAAATAAAAAGAGATGAAAACAAAAAAAAATCTATTTATGTTATATATTCAAATGACTTGTTGTTTTAGATAATTTCAAGAGAGAACAATGGCAGCTACGACTGGTAAGATATAGAAAAATTCATATTTCGAAAGCCAGCAGCCAATAGAGAAAATATTGTTTCTATTTAAGTTGAGACCAACAAACTTCAAGTATTAGTACCCGGTGGTGTTGGTTTTATAGGCAGCCATTGTGTGCTTGAATTAATCAAAGCCGGTTATGAGCCTATCCTACTCGACAATCTATCGAATTCTTCAATAGGTAAAATTTATAAAATAAATCTGCTCAATGAAATTATGTAAAAACGAAAACATTTTGTTTAGAGTGTTTAAAACGAGTAGAACAAATTGCTGGATGTAAAATAACAAATTATAAACTTGATTGTCTTGATTTGGAAGGCTTACGGGATATTTTTAAAAAGCACTCCATTTATGCTATTATGAATTTTGCTGCATTGAAATCTGTTGGTGAATCTGTGCAAAAACCTGTTTTATATTATAAAAACAATGTGGGCTGTTTACTGAATTTACTAACGGTATTTTCATTATTAGTTTTGTTACGCTACGTACAGTACCTTTGTGCTTTTAATTTGATAAACTGTAGTGTATGGAAGAATTCAATGTGAAAAATTTTCTTTTTTCATCATCAGCTACTGTTTATGGCGCACCACAGTATTTACCACTTGATGAAAAACATCCATGCATTGGAGATTCAATTACTAATCCATATGGGAAGAGTAAATATATTTGTGAACATATTCTCAAAGATACAGCAATTGCTCATCCTGTTCGTATTTAAATTCTCAAGAGAATTTTGTTTTTTTAAACTCGTTTTTTTATTTTCAAGGATTGGAATATAATTATTTTACGTTATTTTAATCCGGTTGGCGCTCATGAATCAGGTTCGTTCGTGTATTTGACGTTTTGTTTTCCTTATATTAATTATTGACCATTTAGGCTTGATCGGCGAAGATCCTGTCGGAAGACCAAATAATCTCATGCCATATGTTGCCCAAGTAGCTGTTGGTCGGCTGCCATTTGTCAATGTCACGGGTACCGATTATGATACACCTGATGGAACAGGTAGTCCTACGATAATTTTTTTAATTATAACTAAACATTGAATTTTCTTAGGTGTACGCGATTATATCCATGTTGTGGATTTAGGAACAGGTCATATTGCATGTATGAAAAAATTTAAAGAAAATTGTGGTCTTCAAGTATGAATTGTAGAATATTTCCGGATGATACTCAATTTGTCGATGTTTAGATGTATAATCTTGGTACAGGCAAAGGCTATTCGGTGTTGGAAATGATCAAAGCATTAGAAAAAGCATCCGGTAAAACTATTGCTTTTAAAGAATGTCCTCGACGTCCAGGTGATCTTGCTTCTGTTTATGCTGATCCTGCTCTAGCTGCAAAAGAACTCGGATGGGCGGCTCAACGAGACTTAGATGATATGTGTAAGTAAATACTTTTGTGAAAAGTTACTTTACTCATTGCCCATATATTTAGGTCGGGATCTATGGCGGTGGCAATCGAAAAATCCGAATGGATTTCAATAGAATCTCATCTTGATCTTTATTTTCTATGAATTGTGGATATATTTTTTTCTAATCACTAACGATTTATTTTAATCTTTCTATTAATTTATCTCTTAAAACTTCGGTAATATTTCAGCAGGTTGAACGGTTTTATATTTTTTTGAAAGTTTTAATATTATTATTGCATGTTGACATATTTTTTTACTCTAACTGCGTAATAATAAAAACAGTATTAAACGAACAGAGATAATTTTATGCACAATATATCGAATTTCAATGACATATTTGCTCAAGAAGAGAGTCAAATTAATGTATTTGTAGTATAGAACTCATTACAATGTGGATGTAGTCTTATTCACACATTCACTGATTTATATTTTAGTTTATCAAAATAGGTTTTACTTGATTATCATTTCACTGGCAATAGTATCAATTAATTTTTGATACTCGTGCATATCTGGATGATTCGATTTCTTAGCAATATCTAATGCTTTTGTAATATTCTCCAATGCTTGTGCATAATTTTTTTGTTCCATTTGAGTAAATCCAATGTTGTGATAAGTATTAGCAAGTGATATATGATACGGTGGTAATGTACGGAGATCAATGTCGAGTACTTCTAGAAACTGGCGCAATGCATCCTCATAATCGCCACGTTTGAAACTAATTTCCGCCAAATTATTGCACGTACTAGCGAAAGAAGGATGATTTAATGGAAGAATTTTCTTTTTGATGGCGAGGCTCTTTTCATAATAGAGATATGCATTTGACAAATCATTCATTTGGCAAAATACGGTTCCGATATTATTGTACATTATTGATAGCTTTGCTTCATATTGTGGGCAATGGTTTTCTACAATATCTTGTGCCTTAAGCATATATGTCATGGCCTCTGGATAGTTCTCCATCGAATGATAAACAATACCTATATTGGCAAAAGTTTCTGCGCAAGACATAGAATTCTCCTGTGCTTCTAATTCGGTAACTTTCTTCAGATGTATTAATGCTTCTTCATATCTTCTTAAGTCGTTATAAGTTGCACCAAGATGACTATGAAACATTATTAATTTTTCATTGTCATCGGAGATTTCTGCAAGCATCAGCAAATAAAATTGTACAAGCTTATCGTATTCACCCATTTTACTTAGCAGCTGACCAAATGGAGTCATATCAGTTGTGTCGTATAGTTCTTGTCGTATATGTAATCGCAATTTTCTCAAATCTTCATCGTTCTCGTCGTTTGATGTCAACCTAATGTGCCAAACGCCAGCAATTTCTTCAATAGATTGAATCCGACATACCATTCCCATTGAGAAGAGAATTTCGTTCTCGTTGACAAAATTGCTAAGGGCTCGAATATGATGGAATGGTCGTTGACACTTTTCTTGATCAACTGTCATTTCGAATAAAATTGATTCATTTGAAGGACGTTGTAAACCATAACCAGAATATATTAATGCCAGATTTCGATCATCAGTCGTCGACATAAAGCTATTTATAGATAGAAACCCACCGATATTCTGTCTGATCTTTTCAAACTCATCGGCAGCTAATAATTGGCCTCGATAAACGACTAATGTACCGCTCTGTTTTTTTTCGTCGTTTTCATATAATTTCTCTAGCTGTAAGTGCAAATCTTTGATGAAAAACCGAATCTTAAATAAAGTATCGATGTCTTGTACTCGTAATGCTTTATTCAGAATTCGATAAATAAACGTGTCACTTGTATACCACTGAATCGCAGTATTGAATGTATAAGACTTTTCAAAATCATCAATAGTTTTTAATTGAACCTCGTTGCCATCATATTGTTGACGACATTTGTTGATCATGTCCTGTTTTGCGTTGCCAACATTGATTGAAAGCAGGACATCAATTAACAATTGAAAATACATAAAAGATGCTTCGAGACGATTCGATAATGAAATAGAATCACTGCTTGATGCAGGCATGCAGCTTATAGTAAAGTCTTTTATGCCAGCGAATACAGCTACTTCCTGAGCAATTGCTTCGTGTACATTATGAACTGTGTTATACATACCACGTACTTTCGCGTATTGTTCAACAGGGTATTCCAGCGTTTTGTTTTCGGCGAGTATATAGATTGCATGAATCTGTGCGAGATTATGAATAACAGGTACAATAGCATCATATACTGATTCTGAGAGTATAAAAAATATTTTTTCGGATTGGCAATGTGTTACATAGTCAATACATTCGTTAATATCATCAAATATTTCATGAAAGTTAATTGTTTCCCGAAATTCGTTGTGCATGTTATTGCCATTGACAACCAACCACACAACCATATTTGTCTCGAGATTACGACGTTGACGACCAGATCGCTGCTTGTTTGAAGCATTAGAGCAGTCATCATACTTAGAATCCATTTGGAAATCTGCCAATGAACTAACAACTAAACACAAATCTCTTTTAAATTATAGATTCACCATTGTTTTATTGATGTTTCTGTTTCGCTTTGATAATGATTGGTTCTTATTTAGTCTTTTCATGCAACTTTGGATTTCTCAATGAGTAGATCAATGTGAATATGATTGATAAGGGGTCTGATTCATACTCTTTTTCATAAAAACAATAATCGTATATTGCTTCTCACCATGAAAAACTTTTGCAGCATAAAGTTTGACTGCATCTTCATCATCGAATTTTCTTTGATGTTTCATCGTAACTTTCCTCAGACATAGGAAGAAGTCTGCTATGCATTCACAATCATACTTACTTCTACAAGTAAAACTCAACAACTCACCATTACTGCTAATTACTTAGAATCAAATATATGTATGAGCTTAATTTTGCTCTAAATACTCACTTGTGTCTTTTCATCTTTAGAAGAGGAACTTATTGTTGTCGTTACTGATGTGGAAGGTAAAAAAAATGATTATAGCACATTTTGTTGGAAAGAACAAATAATTCTTTTTCAATGGCTGCAAAAACGTTACAAAAACAGTCGTTTTTGCCACGTGTACGAAGAAATGTTTTGATAGTGACACATGATTCAACTTTCAGAATATTGAAAGCGGCTCCAAAGTAAGAATATGGTTCTGCTAGTCTTTCCTGTCTACACCATATCATATTTTATGATACTTTATATGTTTCCAAAGATTAATTGAAGCGAACAAAAACCCTTATACTCACACCCGAAAATGTCGTGTCGTGTCTGAAAATATTTAAAACTTTCTCCATGATTAGTCAGATAAATCAAAATCGGAAGTACATGAATGACAAGAATAAATAATTATCACTCGATTGTCAGTTTCTGTACTGTCTCTCTCTTATACTGCATGAATCACCCGTGAAGCTTGTCACGAGGCGTCGATCACTATAATTTTTGCCGATGCAACGTTTGAAGAGAAACTTAATTTTAGCTAGATGTTGCCCGGACAATGTATTCAAATAAAATTCCGTTAGATAAACTTTTGAAGGATAGATATAGAGTAGCCAAGTCAAAACAAATGGAACTCCTATCAACATTTCTAGGAGCACTTTGATAATATACTCGACTGTTGAAATACTACATTGAAAATATGAATTTTTGGATTGCTTTAAACTATTCGAAATAGCATAGGGAATCTAGCAAATGGTATATGCTATAGGCGCTATAAAAATAAATAAGTGACTGTAGAATAATTTTAGATATGTTCTTATCGGCGAACCATTCTCTATACCATATCGATGTATGCGACGTGTGAAACTAATCAGAATTAACAGATTCACCAATGTATAAGTTGTAATAGCTGCAACAGTATGGAACCATGTAAAAATACTACGTAGAATCTGTAAATTCGGTATTGTCCCCCAGTTACAATTATAGTAGACCAATGGTATAGCGTTATCAACCGCTATCAGAGTAAAAATTATAGTAGTAACGAATGAGCGCTACCATGAGGCATTTATTTTACTTTCAAACGATATGATTAAACCACGTTCAAAAATAACACGTGCGCTGAGCCATAAACAGAGAACGATAAAAAAAATGATAACCGACTCTAGAAGTGGAACAATGGAAAACTTCAAGTTGTTCTGGATTGTTTTTCAATTCATTTGGATAGTAATTCAGAAACCCATCAGCTACCAGCAAAAAATTTGATACGAGCGAGAAAAAATTGAATACCAGATTAGATTGACACCACAGTTTGTATGACGAATCCGTCTACATCTGATGAATAGCTCGAGATAGAGGCTATTATTCAACACTGAAAAATACAATCCAGTAATATGGATGACTATGTGTACATAATCTGTATCGAATTGTATCTGTTTCCTACTATATTTCTCACAGAGATCTCCTTGGTAACAGGGATCACATTTTCAATAAATTGTATTTATACTGTTATCCACTACGCGTGTACCATTGTTAAGACATTGTAAAGGATTAAGTTCACAGAAATTCATTGCCCACTGTTACGCACCACAATAAAATAAGGGACTGCAATAAACTAAGAGAAAAGAAAAATAATTGGTACCCACTGGCTGTCTAATATAATGTACCGTGAAACTACTATGTTGGTTATTTATATGTTTTCTGACATGTGAAATCTGTTGAGTTTTGACCGCGGATATTAAAAAAACGTATAGTCATGGAAAAAGGAAGGAGACAGGCGATGCAAATGCTTACAATAATAAATCGATTCATTTCTACATTAATCGAAATCAGTTTATAACTTGATGGTTGATTTAATACTAATTTATTCGCAAGTAGTTCCGAAATGATTTGATCATAACATGATGGGCGTGGGTGTGAGTGGTAATTCTCTTAATTCACAGCCATAGCCACTCACAACTACACCCAATACAGAATTAGAACTGTGATCTTTATGAGAGTGGTGTCACATATCCAAAATTTTGGAGATGCCATCACATCTCCCACAGGAGATGCCGCATCTCCCGTTGGAGACGTGACACCCACAGTCGGGAGATCCGGTCATTCACAACTGGAGATGTAAGATCTCCTTTAGAGATGCGCATCCCCCACACCCACATCTCTCGCGCGAGATGCGGCATCTCCCGCGGGAGATGTGGTGGCATCTCCAAAATTTTGGATATGTGACACTGCTGATTAAGCAACATAAAAGAAAAGAAAATTTGATCGTCTTTATTTAAGACCAAATACAAAAAAGATGTTTTTCATTTCTACCAAAAACTAATATTGTCTATACAAAATGTCATTCAAGTTCTAGTTCGAAACGATTTAACATATCTTTAAACTTAATTGAATCATATAGAGATAACATGAATGTGCCGTTTATCAAGCACCCTGTCCTGCTGATTTGAAGTAATTCTTGGCCATTCACATTCTGTGTAAACCAGCTTTCAGCTAAATCATTATAACGTGTTTGTTCGAGCCGCGTTTTTACCTCTTTAGTTGTTAATCGTTTTAATAAATCTTTGGCAGATTTTGAACATGATTCACTTGATGAAGGTGTAGATAATGAAGAATGAGGAGGCGATTTTGAGCTTTTATCTTGTTTAACTATAAAAACAAAAAATAGAAAAACAATTGAAATATGTTTTTGTTTAGCTCTCTTTTCAGGAATGTGTTTATAAAAAATGAGCTACCGAGTCAAGGGGGAAACGGCAGACTTGAAGTAGAAAAGTACATCAAAGTACTTTACTTGAAGTAAGCTTAAAGTAGCTTAAAGTAACTCAAAGTAGCTCAAAGTAGTCCAAATTAGTCCAAAGTAGCTTGAAGTAATTGCAAGTAACTTAAAGTGAATTTGAAGTTGAAAAGTACTTCAAAGTACTCTACTTGAAGTAAGCTTAAAGTAGCCTAAAGTAGCACAAAGTAGCACAAAGTAGCGCAAAGTACTTGAAGTACAAAAGTCTGCCGTTTCCCCCTTGTACCGAGTTCAAATGAGTAATGAAACCGATTCTGTTGTAGTATCCAAAATAAATCCCTCAATAATTAAAGTTTTATATTGCTCACAATCTACAGGTCTTAGCTCTTCTTCAAAGTGTCTATTTCTGTATGATAATTGCGTGTTTTTGGACATTCAAACCGGTGCTGAGTTTGACGTCTTTGATCTCTGCAGTTGTGCGATTGTATGGAAAAGATGTATTTTGACGCTTGATCAGCCATATATTCTTCATCTAGACTTAAATCGATTGTTCGATGACAATGAAATTCAGCATAAACTGAAATTCGTTGTTTCCATTCGACCCAACCGAAAATGGTATTTCTGTCAGCAAAGGCTTTCAATTGACTACGAATACCGTACGTATTAATACGCATCAAAGTGTACGATAATGTTCTTCTCCAACAATCATCCTCAGGGAAATCGATGCCATAGAATAATGCTTCATTATATAAATTTCGAATACTGCCCGGGTCGATCAAAATGGATATCGTTTACGGTCCGTTTTCTGAAAGTAAACGGTAGGAAAACGACATGCACTATATACAGGAGTACAAAAAAAATGGAATAAGATTGAACTACTCCTGTTAAAGAATATTGCTATCCTGTCTATTGGTTGAGAAACTCTATAATGCCCATTACATTCTCTGGAAAAAAGAGGATGGTTCAGTATTCTTGTTAAATTAACTCCTTGGGCGTGCCGATCGTATCTTAACAGGTTAAGGTTTTATATACATTACCGCTTTTATCACTTTACACAAATAGAAGTCGATGATAATTCGTATAAGCTGTCCATACTCAAAATCTGTCGAAATTTTATGAAAAAACAAAAGATCAGAACTCGACAAATTCCACAGAATATTAGAACCGTCGTTGCTCCACAACGCGACGATTCCCTAATCCACTCTCCTCCGACGACTTCCCAGGGAGTCCTCACAAAAGAACGAAATCCCTAGGGACTCCCTAGGGATTCTTCTAGGGATAGTTGACTAGGGTTACTCATAAAGCTGTAATATTTCAAATAAGCAAATACTAAATTCTTGTAAATCTATGTCGCGTTTTATTTAAATCAACACAGATGTGTGTTCGTTCAATGTTATCGTGTTCACTAAAACCTAAAAGAAGTTTCTTCTCTCTGTTGACGTACGAACGCGGTTTCACGATTCATTCAGAAATAATTTCATTATACTTAATTAAGAAACATAAACCCATACTTCACAATATTATTTAAACTTTTGATAAAATGAGTCAATATAAACTGCTGCAGCGAATATGCAAACTTTTACCGTATGAAGGCAGATATAAGTAAATTATAGAGCACAGGCGACAGACAATTCATATTTCGAAATATATGTTTTTGATTTATTCTGTTTAAATGCCAAGTCATTTGGTAGCGATCGAATTTAAACCATTCGAACTCTTCATTGAATATTTTGCTTGTTCTTCGCTCATCGCAGTTTTAAGCACTCTAGAAAAAAACTCAAACACACTATAGTGAGTTCTGTGATAGGGGTAACCCGTATAGAATAAGGTTTAAATATTCAAATTGATCATGAATATATGTTAATTCTTCAAACAGCGATTCAATAATACTTCTAGTATTCATCTACATATGTATAGCAATTCATCTTTCACCAGCGTGTGCCTTGAAATCACACGCTATTAATTAATCAAGAGTAACAGGTAAGAGAAAAATCCATAAGTATTTTCGGCGGAAGCACACTGCTACAAAGTAGCATGCATTGAATGCTAGACTAACTTTGTAATTACTGATTATATATTTTATGATGCATGCGAGTCATTGACCAAATAAGCTCCTGATTTCACATTTAAACCTCGAAAACATATAGGCATCTATTTTTCTTAAACAGAAGTAATTACATAGCATGTTTTTATTTTCGAAGGCTACTAACTCTTTTTAATAAAACCAATCATCAAACAGCTATCTTTCTGGAAATCAGAAAAATAATTTTTGGTGATTTGATCATGAGATATAATTCACCTCGTCGAAAAATCTGCGTTTTAATCAGATTCTATCACAAAGTCAGCATATAAAGAATAGATTCGAGATTTCGATGCATCAAAATATGTGCGAGATACATAGTTAAATGTGCTCTCATGTGTGCTTGCAAATCTTTGAGGATATATTTTGATTTCTATGAGATAAACATCATTTGGCTTAATAATTTGTAGCTATTTTCAGAAAACCCTTGACACGGTATGTATTCTACCTTAAATTGCTCTTCGAGAGTAGTGCGTAGTCGCAACTATTATTCCCACTAAAAATTATCCTAATTATGAAGATTTCTATACCAGTTGCTTTTTTTTAGAAAATTCATTTCTTCAACAAGTTATTCATTAACCTAAAGTTGGTTTCACGACTTGTGCTTGTGTGTGACATTTCTCAAACACATTAATGACTTCATGGGCATGTTTGTCGATAATTTGGAATTGGTTAATAACGAAAGTCCTGAGTGGAATTACTAGAACAAGAAATATTTTTACAAGAAGAACAGGTTGTAAAACAAATTTGGAAGTGTTACGTGAACAAATTGATTCTGCTGGTGATTACGATCTTCATGATATTTTACGTCAACAAAATAGACTAGAGTGGCCAGAATGGCATTGGCCTGTGGATAAAAATGATAAAACCATGACGATAGTTGAAGGTTTTCACGAAAAGTTTAAAAAAATGAAAGAGTCTTCGAGTATAGTTGACAGCATATACACGATAGAAGAAACATTGTTAAACTTTATGGATAGGAATGACAAGGATTGGAATGATGTGAAAGAATGTTTCAAACAAGCCAAAGAATTGGACGATCCAAAGCTAATTATTGAGTCCTACACTATCACCAAAAAATTCAGTCGGTGTCTAAATAGACATTCAGCTACAAATACAGACCATTCACTAAAACGTTACTGTACACTATTGAATTGTCCTACTCTGGCTTGGACCCAAGAATATACAGAAGCCTTTACTAAGATTTTATTTCATCCAAAATTAAAGAGCCTTGAAGCTCAAAATATTACCGTTTATCGTGGTATGGTACTTGAAGATGAGAAACCCATAGCCAATTGCATAGTAGATAGAATTATAATAACAACAACGTTTTTATCTACATCTGCAAGCCGAGTGGTAGCTGACATGTTTGGTACAACGCCTCCTGAAAGTATGATATCAGTATTATGCACATACAAGATTAGAGGTACGACACGTCGTACAGCTCTGAATCTTCAATCAATATCCGTGTTTCCAGAGGAGGAAGAAATACTGATCATGCGTTTCATACCGTTTCGAATAGTATCAGTAGAACGAACAGAAGATGGTAGAAAAATCGAAATATGTTTTGATGAATTTACAAAAGAAGTAGTTTGAAACGCACTAATTGTTATCTTAACAAATGTATTACTTCTTGAGGATGATGTGTACGAAATAAACGAAACCAAAAATTCATATAAAGCATAAAAGGAGTAGAGTAGTATGGAATCGAGTGTTTGAGTCGTTGGAAAACAAATTTTATTGCTGTTATTGACTATGGTCCTTTCTGAACCATGAACTAAATTGAATGCTGAGTTAATTTTTTCACACAGGCTCTGCAGTGTTCATTGAGAGCAACATAGCTCGAAGACACTAGGGAAAGAAAGAAAAAACAAAATTTAAATTAAGTATAGACGATTAATCTATAAATAAAAGTTTTTCTTCGAGTATAATAAAAACAAATTTAAGTCAGCGAAGTGAGCAGTTGGGAGTGTGGGTATTTCATTCTGTCAAATCGACAACCATACATTGTAATTTGAAATTTCATCGAACTCCGGAAAATAAGATTCAACAGATACTCTTTAAATTGCGACAAAAAAGTCAACAAAATACAACCTTGACTACAGACAATAAGACAGCTCCGATGACAAATTCGTCAGCGCGCCACATGTGAAGCAAACTGAGATGATAAAACCAGCTTATAAATAGTGCTACAGTCAATTTGAGGTGACAACTCTGTCCTAGTATTGACGATTGTTTATTGTATGTTAAACCGAAAACCAGACGATTGATGAAAATTGTTCGCCTCAAATATCATAAAATTCCGTTAATATTCGACACGATTCACGTAAAGACATGTGCTCGTTCAATCATTTTAACACAGAGATACAGAAGACTAAATATGTTGTCTTCGTTTCAAACATGCCCACACAAAATCGAACGGGTCTTACAACTGTATGAAATCTATTTGCATGGCAAGACCAACATACAAAGTCGATATGAGCAGCCAGTATTGGATAATAATTCGCTTGTCGCATTGCTTTCATGTCAAGCACAGTGGTGTGAATAATGTATTGGTATGACAATCTTAAAGCGAACGATTATTTGAATGTTAAATATTATGTTACATTCTCTTTAAGACTCACTAGTGAAATTTCTATAAAAGTATTTAGATCCTATAATAATCTACTTCAATCATTAGCAATAGAATCGTATTGGTAGTCCAACGGAGAAATCTATGAACTTTTTCAATGTAACTTTTATTATGCATTACTAAAGATTGTTGAAATATAATGACAGAAAATATTAACTTATTCTTTAGTGAATGATCAAATTGCAAACGGTAGTAGTTGGTAACCGACTTGAAGATTTTTGAGTAATCTAACAAACGGGCATAATAATGTATTTTCCCTGACAACGAAACACTTTCAACGATATCAAGAGCTGACTCTATACTATTCTATTTAATTAGACTTTACCATCATATAACTATCACATTTCTATCAACCTATTTCCATACTAAGTCATATTAACAATGTGCGATAGGAGATTTTGGCCTTTGTTTAATTGAAACCACACTTACACCGACCATGATGATATTACATTTTCGTCCATTACTCAAATTCGAAAACTTTAACTTACCGAATGTGAACTAGAGTATCTCAGAGACGCCTCCTAAGATTTTTGTTAGTGCCACTAGCAACACACAGGTGAAACACAATTTTCAGTTACTAGACTATGATGGCATTACGTGAAACTCTATTGAAGTGTGAAAGCCGATTCTTCCTTCTTTTGGGCTTTTTTTGTTTTAGGATCGTAAAAACGAAGATCAGATATCAGATTCATTGCATATAAAACAATATTTTACACGAAAAACGATTTCTAGCGTGGCTAACTCTGAGATAACCATGCCGCTGAGACTCCAAGCGGTGCAGCTTTTCGAAGGGTGTGGGCGTAGAGGAAGACATGCGTACAGAACACCCACACTCTCAAGATATTCGTTTAATTCTTATTTAATTTTCCACTAAGATCGATTACTGAAAATCAAGAGTTGAGAATAGCAGATTGGTTGGCCTTTTCTTTAGAAGGTAAGTCGATCTGTTTATGAAGTACTCGGGTGTGGATTTGGGTAGAAGTGCATTCTCACCCACACCTTACATCGAATTGACGTTGTCTATAGAATCGAATTAAGAATATTATATTTTATTTGAATATTAAGAAAATTATGTAAACATAAGTATATAAGCAATGTTAAAGATTCTGGAATAAGTTAATAAAAATAATGAAATGCTTCTTGAAACCACGAGTATGGATGTGCAGTGCCGGTGTAAATACTGAAAAACTGATCACCGACACCGACTTCACTGAAGCATTGATGATCAGTGAAACACTGACAAACCGACAACTTTTGATTGACTGAAGTCTTTAGTCAATCAGAAAGATATCGGTATATCAGTATTTCACTGAACACCGATGTCGGGGCCGTCAGTGTCTCTATCTTCAGTGTTTCAGTGACACCAGTGAAAGTGTAGTCGGTGGTCCACTCCGCAACACTGCCGATGTAGTCAGTGCTACACTGAACACACCTTCGGTGCAAGTCGGTGGTCAGTGCACCGACACTGCACATCCCTATTCACGAGAGATCAGTAGAAGTAAGATAAATAAATAATCACTGAAGAAAATTTGAATAAAGTATTATTAAAATTGTTCAATTACTTTCAATGCTGCTCCGCAACTAGGACAAATGATATCTGGGGACTGATTGCCATAGCGAGCATTATTAGATTTCAAATAAACTGTTTGTGCTGGCTGCAGTGGCAATGCAGGAGTTGTATGCTGTGTTGACATTCCGTAACCTGGAATCTGATTGGGTGCATGTTGACCTGTCCATCGCAGATCATCATTCGGTCTGTGCTCATCATCGAGTACTGCTCGTATGTATACATAGATATAAATAGCAATGAAAAGCAGAGATAATACAAGCATGATAACGGCGCCAGCTAATTGTCCTTTGGTTATTCCAAGAAAAATTGAAGACATATTGCCCGTATTCTGATATGATGTTATGCAGTCAAGGCTGATCGTAACAGAATTTGGAGGCAATAGACCATTAATAAAGTTGTTATCAAAACTGATCAGTACAGCTGCGAAGATGAAAGTAAGAACATTTGTTATCATTACATATGTTGCACAGGCAACAGATGATCGATTACAGCAACCTAATCAAAACAAAGTTTCAATAAAAAACTGAAGGAAAATATATTAAGGGGAGTTCAAAATTCTCGTTTAGACTACAAATCATTCAATGTATGAGATCAGTGATAAACTATTTCATTGAATTCTGAAACTTTCTTCGAATGAGCTAGCTTTTGGGAAAAGAATGCATCCAACTGAATATATAAGACAGAATGGAATAGCATTTTTTCAGTTCTACGGAAATATTTCATTGTGTCGCTTTCAGTATTTTGGTAACTCTTTTTGAGATTATTCTCCATTAAGACGTAACTTAATTAATTTATCAAATCGTGGTCTAAACTTTTTGTCTTTTTTCAATCTGCCAATCTGACTGAATATAAAAGATTATCCATTATAGAAATTTTTAAATGGGAAACCAAAGACGTTTGCACTTTGTTGAAACTCTCAGTTGAATCTCACTCCTGAATTTTAAACAGATCTCGCTTAGCAATTATGACTCATTATTATGCTAGATTTTTCTTCTCTGGTGCATAGTTATATTCTATCGTACTGTTGAATATATACTATGGTGTTTCTGAGTTTAACTTTAGAAATAAGGAGTAAAACAATGAATACATACTGACACAGAACATTGAAATCCAGCATGTCATGGAAACTCCCCAGCAAATAAAGCCGATAACATACCAACTCATGAAAACAGCACAAAGGGAAACTAAACCAATAGTAACAATAGCAATATGAAGTCCCACAACAGCAAATGAAACAAGAAGCTGAACGACAGCAATTAAAGATACGATCCTACCAGGCCAATAGTGTTTCCAACTTTGCCCATTCGGCCAGCACGAGTTAGCGCACATTATTTACGTAAAACAATCTATGATTATCAAAGACAGATAGAATTATCAACAACAGAATCTGAAAGAAAATTATGTAAAATAACTACTATCGCCTGATAAAATAGTTTTATATGCATTGAGTATACCGTCTATAATGTCAACATTATTTTTTTAAGACTGGTAAATGAAAAGAAAAGCGCATGTTATATATAGCGTTATTTTGTAACTAAATTTGTCGTAATCAACAACAAGAATCACAATCTTACTTTCGAACAGAACCGATCAAGATTTTTCTTCTACGTCAAATGTCTAACATCACTAGTCTTGCTGAAAAAACACTTCAACGAAAAATCTGCCTGGAGTTCCAAAACCTATAATTAGGTCATTGTCTTTTTGCCTGTGTCTGTAATGGAGTATTAATTAGGGGTGCACCAATTACAATTACAATTCTTGCCTTGGAATTGGTCTGAAATCGGTATAGAAGTGGCTCCGGATGGGTGTAGAATTAACTGAAATTGATGGTAAAATTGATTATTCTTCACTAGAAAGTGCTTGAATTTACCAAAAATAAAATAAAGAAAGTGGGACCTATAAGATCTTAAATCTGAAAATTTTAGATTTTTATCATAAAAGCTACAAGTCGAGTCACAGTAAATAACGTATTTGGAATCAGCGCAGAAAACTGACCCGAAAAATGTATATTCTGAATGCTTTCGATAACTTTTATTTTCTACAGAAAATTCACCTGAGATACTCCTCAGGGTTCAGTCCAATAATAAAAAATCACTTTTTTTGGTGCTCAGGCGTGAGATTTTTTTCTATATTACTAAATATTTTACATGCTCCACAGTTCTTCCTGCTGTTCAAGTTCCTTCCTGGTTAGTTTTATTATTGGACTGAACCCTGAGGAGTATCTCAGGTGAATTTTCTGTAGAAAAAAGAAGTTACCGAAAGCGTTTAGAATATACATTCTTCGAGTCAGTTTTTTCCGCTGATTCCAAATATGTTACTCATTGTGACTCGAGTTGTAGCTTTCATGATAAAAATCTCAAATTTTCAGATTGAAGGTCTTCTGCATCCCACTTTCTTTATTTTATTTTTGGCAAATTCAAGCACTAGCTAGTCAAAAATAAGGAATGGTAGCGCCAATTGCAGTTAATTCTACACCCATCCGGAGTCACTTCTATACTGATTTCAGACCAATTCCGACCAACATTAGCAATTGAATTAACTCGAATTGGAATTAGTGCACCCCTACTAATACTAATTCCAGTAATATTAGATCGCTTGAAATTCACACTACGATGCAAAAAACATAATATCGTCGGGGAATCATGTGAAATTTTCCACCTTAAAAGAATTAATTGTACACTCATTTTCAATAACACATTAGAAGGCATCAAATGGGCATGACAGCCACTCGACAATTTGAATTGTATGTTTTTCGTTCGTTTTATTTCAACATCGAATCTCTCGTCAGAACCAAAGTGAGTCCTTATAATCTAAAGGTAACCCGAATAGAATAAATTCCAAGTATTCAAGTTGATTATGACTACATGATTACACTTCAAACAGCGATTTAATAGTATACCTATTCCTCATTTACCTTCTTAAAGCTTACTCGTTTCACAGGTGTATGCCTTCAAATCATACGACATACAGTAATCGAAAATAACAAGGGTGAAACGAAATCCTTCAATATTTTCGGCGAAAGCACATTCATACAAAATTTCATGCATGAAATATTGCAATAACTTCATCATTTTTGCTCTTATACGTTATAATGCATTTGCGTGTTTTACCAACTACGCTCTTGAATACACGTTTGAAATTCTAAATATATTATATATATAGCCATCTATTCTTTGCATAAGTATACAATGTGTTTTTATTTTCGAAGTTTGGTGTAATTCTTATTAAGAAAGTGAATCATCAAACTGCTATCCATATAGGAATCAACAAAAAATAATTTTCACAGAAGAGCAATAGTTTTCGAATCTCTTTCTTTGCGTTTATTCGATACACCAAAATATCTATGAGATGTTCAGCTACAAATCACTGGAAAATACAAACCACTTTTATCCGCGTGGATGCAGAACTTCATATCAATGTATCTCTTATGGCAGCATGGGACGTTAAAATATGTTGCTGCTTTTTTTAAATAGAAAAATACAATAGCTTCTCGAAAACTACACTTACACTATTATCATACCATTTGTTCTTCCTTTCAGAATATTCATTTCTTCCATTAGCTATTAAAGGAACTAAATTTTCCAAAATAGTTTTAGAACTAATACATACGCGTGAAATTTTCCAAGAAAGTTACTGGTTCTATGGCATGTTTGTTGATAGCTCGGAGCAGGTTGATTACAATAATACTAAATGTGACTGCTAGAACAAAATGTATTTTTACACGGAATTCTTCTTCTACTATTACAAGAAGAACACGTCGTATAACATGTTTGGAACAGTTAAGATACGAACTCGATTATGCTGGTGATTATGACCTTCATGATATATTACGTCAACAAAACAGAATAGAGTGGCCGGAATGGCATTTATCTGTGGATGAAAACAATAAAATTACGAAAATAGTTGAAAACTTTCATCGGGATTTTAATAAAATGAAAAAATCTTCGAGTATAGTTGGCTTAATACGTATAATAGAAGAAACATGGTTAAACTTTATGAATGACAACGACAAAGATTGGAGTGATGTTAAAGCACGTTTCAAACAAGCCAGAGAATTGGATGATCCGTTGCCGATCTTAGAAGCGCTTTGTTTCTCTCAACAATTCAGCCGGTGTCTAAACAGACATTCAGCTGCAAATATATATCATTCACTAAAACTTTATTGTACGCTGTTGAACTGCCCGATTGTGGCTCGGACCCAAGAATATACAGAAGCATTCACTAAGATTTTATTTCATCCAAAATTAAAGAACCTTGGAGCTCAAAATATTACAGTTTATCGTGGTATGGTACTTGAAGATGAGAAACCCATAGCCAATTGCATAGTAGATAAAATTATAATAACAACAACATTTCTATCAACATCTGCAAGTCGATTGGTAGCTGAAGGGTTTCGTACAACGCCTCCTGAAAGTATGATATCAGTATTTTGCACATACAAGATTAGAGGTACGACTCGTCTTACAGCTCTGAATCTTCAATCAATATCCAAGTTTCCAGTGGAGGAAGAAATACTGATCATGCGTTTCACACCGTTTCGAATAGTATCAGTAGAACGAACGGAAGATGGTAGAAAAATCGAAATATGTTTTGATGAATTCACAGAGCAAGAAGTTTGAAACGATCTAATTGTTATTTTTACAAATGTATTACGTTGTGAGGGTGATGTGTAAGAGCAAATCCAGTTGTAGCTGAAACAAATAAAAATTGCACCATGTCGTTCATCACCTTTTTTTTCTCAACAATGCGCTAACAAGAAAGTGTCCCCAAATGTAAAATTGTTTCCGGATTGAGTGTATGCTATCACAGAATGGTTATAATTTTTTATGTCATATTCATTTCATAGTTAGGAAGTATGTGAAAGTGTTGTTGTCGCGTACAACCTAAACTCACTGCTGTGGACAGAGGGTTTTAGGACGCGCAACTAGTGGCATAAAACTTGTTCTTCATTCTGGGCAACACGAAATTTTTTTTTGAAAGCTCCTCCAAAATATAATGTGCTTTATTCGAATTCTTATTAACTAAAGCATCCACAAGTGAGCTGGCATTCTCACATATTTCCTGTCTATGGCATCACTCCATTGAGTTGTCCACAAACTGTGTATCACTGATATAGATTCGAGCTGGATCCGGACATGCTCAGACGAAATGTCGAATTTATCATAGCAGCAGTATAGTAAAAACTAGTTATAAAAAGCATGATTGCATATTTATGTGTATCGTTTGAGCATATACTTGATCAAAAAGTCATTTCAGAGTTGAGGATATTTCACCGTTGATTTCATCAGTCACTTGAGATACTGCCAATACTGAGTTAACTATGGATTAGCACTGTTTTTTAGGCTTTTTTTCATACATTGAGACTATAATATGCCATCATAAAATAGATTATTACGAAATTTGTTTAATGTACTTATGCAGTCTGGAAGAAGTATTGATAATAATTGCTAGAATTATTATCAATACCCTATAAACAGCAAATAAATGTGTATTGGCTTTTAAGAGAAATCAAATTTCTAGAAAGAATACTCAAATATGTAGAATAGAAAAATATGCATAAATTAGGAATAGATTTAATATTTTGATTCGAAAAATAATTGGCTATTTTCAAAAATGCTGAATCTAAGATGAAAATCAGCATTGTAGCGATCATTATTGATTCGATTCCTAGTTATCACAGTATTTTGAATTCTTTCAGATCTCCTGGCAGTCAATGAAATGAGTAAAATAATAATTATTAATTATCATGTTCGTTATACAGCATGACTAATGCAATTCAACACTGTCAAATGTAAGTGACAATTGGGCTTGTGATGCGTTTGCATTTCATCATTGTCACTACTTAGCCATTTGAAATGTGACGTGTCATCCAGTCATTGCGCAATCATAGAAAATATTCTATGACACAGAACGAATATAAGCATCCAAAAAAATTAAAATTTCAAGTATACAAAAAAGAAAATACATAGATCTTACTTTTTTCATTATGACTGATCAGATTAAATCATCTCTTCATACATTGCCGACAGAACATATCTATCGAATTTTTAACTATCTTGATGATTTCGATATTTTTTGTACGATGCAAAATGTCTGCACACGTATTAATGCAACTCTAGACAACTATCGTCGCTACAAGGTAAAATGATTCATACAACTTAAGCACATATTTTGTCACAAACACAGAAAAGCGAAATGACAAATTAGCGACATTCTTTTTTTCTGGAAATAACGCAAACTATGAGTTTCTATTCACTCCGTTTCATACAGTCAGTCTACAGACATAAGAGTTATTTTGAGATGTTCGATCCTTTTTATCTTTTTCATATTTCACGTAGGCACTCACTACACTTCAACTATGTAATAAAAAAATGGGCCTGCAAGGCATAGAGCATCTGAGCAATACACTTAAGCAAAATAAAGTAATTATCAAAGTTCTCTAAACTTTTTCATTTTATTATTTACTATTTACTATTTCATAGACGGTCACTACGCTGGATATCGGTGTCAATCAAATCGATGATAAAGGAGCATATTACATAGCCGATGCTTTAGGTCAAAATCAAGTAATATTTCTCTCCCCTTTCTTTTTATTGAGTCATTCACTTACTACTTTCCGCAGACACTAAACATATTGAATCTTCAACTCAATAATATTGGCCCACAAGGAGCAGAATATCTTGCTAATAGCTTGAAACAAAATCAAGTAACACTCACTGATTCTAGATGCTCGTTCTCATTTTCTTTGCTGCTTATGTTCTTTTTATATACAGACGTTAACTAGATTGAATCTTCATTACAATCAACTTGGTGACGAAGGAGCACAGCATCTTGCCAGTGCTTTACAACACAATAAAGTAGTGATTCTCGTTTTCCTCTATCAATTTTATTATTTCCTTACTACTTGACGTGTAGACACTTACTAGACTAAATCTTATACATAATGAAATAGGTGAAAAGGGTGCATACCATCTCTCAAATGCTCTACAACTAAATAAAGTAATAGTAGTCAATCCTGTTTCTTTTATTTTCCTAATTATACATTATTCTATACAGACGCTTACCACATTTTATATTGCCGAGAATAAAATCGGTGATCTAGGAGCACAATATATCGCGAAAGCACTTCAGATAAACCAAGTAATAGAATTACTTTAGATCGTTTCTATCTCTATCGCGCTCTCTTTTCCTCTGTTCTACACAGACACTCACGATACTTTATGTAGCACAAAATCAAATTGGTGATGAGGGAGCACACCATTTTGCTAATGCTCTACAACAAAATCGAGTAACATCTATCTCTTTTAAGTTTTGATTTTCTCATGCGATCATCATTCAATACAGACACTCACCACATTGAGCTTGAAAGCGAACCGTATTAGTAGCCAAGGAGCATGCCATCTAGCGAATGCTCTTCTCGAAAATAATGTAATATTGCTTTAGTTCTGCTCTTTTCATCCTAGGATTCACTGAATATTTAATGCAGACACTTACCACATTGAATCTAAAATGGAATGAAATTGGTGATCAAGGAGCGAGTCATTTTGCAAATGCTCTTCGCCAAAACGAAGTAATACTCGTTATATTCTTGTCTTGCCATTCTACTATCTTTTATGGAATATTTCATTTAGACACTCATCTTTCTCGACATACGATGCAATATTATGAGTGATGATGGAAAGAATGAACTTTTGGAAATAAGAAATTACGAACCGGGATTAAAGCTAATAATATAAGCATAACACAGGCGTTGATGCGTATAATCACGATTTTGTTATTTCTTATGAAGTTTTTTTTATTCAACTCATAAATAATAATGATCATTCATGTACTTTATTCAGCGTTTCAATCTCTTTAGCATAACAGGAAATGATGACAACGAAAGAGCATTTTGATACAGAATTTTGTTTACTTTTCTAGAACTTATAACCCTAGTCGAACATCTTGTAAGCAAGATCTGGAAATCTTGGGATCGGTAAGTAAGATCTTATTAAGATCTTAAAAAGATAATTTGTATGTACATATCTTGGTTGTATCAGATAAATCTGTACTTAAGATCTTGGCAAGATCATGAAAAAAATATCGTGTACGATTATCTTCTGATAAGATCTTGAGCGAAACAGAAAGTGACATCATTAGTGTATTTACGTGCTCTCTAGTCATTCACCGTTTTTTAAGTGCATACACAGCTGTATATAAACAGCATGATTGAATACACGAGACACAAATTTTTAAATTTTTTTTTCTCAACTATTTCTCGATTATTCGAGAGAATGCTGATCTCGATCGATGATCGAGAGAGGGCTTCCCTAATTGGTCCGACGGTTATCGGACCAATTTATAGCCAGTCAGATCCCAACATCTGACTTGCTGGAATTCGGGAGAGGAATAATTAAAATGAAAATAAATTGAGAAACATTAAAGAATGCAGCAGGTATTATTTTAGTGTGCATCCAAGATTTAATGGATTCTTATGTAATATCTGTAATTAGATCTTGGGTACAGGATAATGCAGTTATCTTGTACCTGAATTTCCAAGATCTGTTAACATATCTGTACCTTGTATCTTGACCAAGATCTTGCTTACAAGATGTTTGTCTAGGGAATCAACTATTAATTGCCAAAATCGTTTAACTTAGTTCAAACTCAGATCTGATGTTGCTAAACAGTTTCATCTGCTTTTTTGGGATCTTTGCTTTTACTCAGATAGTCAAGAAAAGAATATGGATGTATGTGAGTGCTCTTCAGTAGATCTACGAACACTCTCTATTTTAGAATCCAATTATTCTGAAAGATAATCTAAGAGAAATATTGGCCCTGTTCCCCGCCTCCACAGGCCGTGATAGATAGGTTCGAATCCTATATACTTCAATATTCCTTTTAGATTGTGTTGCATAAAATAATTTAATATGAACTAAGAATTTTTTTAAATGCATGACAATGTTTTTTGCACATACTTGTGTTCTTTTCTCATACATTTACACGTGTCTTGTTTCTATGGATTTATTATGCTCGCCAACTATTTCTTTTACTCTTACTACAAAATTTATTCAAATAACAACAAATATTGCTGAATACAGGAAGCAGAACACAGTTTTTTTTGTGACGAGCGTGGCAAAATTTTGATTACCAAAATACACTAGTCGAATACATTCACTATTGCACAACGCTAGATGCTAGATATTAATACAAATTTGAGTGAAATCGGTAAGTTAATAGCTTTATTGTGATAGATATTTAGCTGAATCACATTTTTTAAAGTAAAGATCGATATGAATTGTGAATTTATCAGGTCAGCTTGATGAAAGACATCAACAGGCGACATCTTTCTTTCTTTAGTCTATTTTAGAAGATTCAAAATCCCAGCACAACCTCAGCTCGACTCTGCGTTTCAAGTATTACATATATGAAAGTTCCGGTCGACGTTTAAAAGAGATATATGTGTACTTGAGCAAGTTGGTGTAAAAGAGATTTTGATAGAAAAGAAAAATCCCGAGAGATGAAATTTTACTACCGATTTTTTTTGTTCGCGAGTGTTCTATGGTTAAGTTTTCTGTTGGTATTTTTCATCGGTTGAGATTATAAAGGGTAAAAAAAGGAGGTTCTTGCATTCAGTCTGTCACTATAACGAGTCGTATAATTGCTAAGTTGTTTTCTCAAAAATGAAAAATTACTATTGAAGAAACGAATTTATTTAAATGAATCCTTTGATTTAGAACGACATCAAATATTATGGTTGGACACAACTGAAAAGAATTCTGACACTTGTAAGAGACAACGATGTAACCTAAATTTGATCGTGACATATACCAGTATCGAAGAATGTGAAGAATATATCCGACACAATGAACACTATCGAATTACTCTGATTGTCAATGATCCAGTAAAAGCTGAGACAATCACAAAGTTGAGCGAATTAGAATCAGTTACAGCTATTTACTTTCGTACTTCTGAGAATGCAACAGACAAATCAGAGGCATCTCAATTGAAAAATGTAAGTTATCTGCTTATCTTTCACTTTCTTACTTTGGTAAACTTTGTGTAGATATGGCACGTTACAACATCACTAGATATCGATAATCTCATCGAGAGAATCAAAAGCGATGAGAAGAAGAGAACTCGTGCATCTGAATCGCTCGTATTCAATATCTTTCAAACGGATAGTTCAAGTCCACATGAGATGACCTCTACTGAAATTAACGGCGAATTTCTTCATTCACAACTTCTTCTCGATTCTCTTCTTACTATGAAAGTCTCGAATAATGAGCTAAGTTTAGCGATTGCACATTGTCGTACAGAGTATGAGAATAGTCCAAGTGATTTGTCTAAAATTGATGAATTTCAATCAAACTATTCGAGTGAGCAAGCACTTAACTGGTATACACAAGACTCTTTTGTCTATCGCATATTGAATAGGGCCTTTCGTTCTCAGAACATCGATGTACTCTATCTCATGCGTTTCATCATTCGGGATATTTACAAACAACTTACTGAGCAACAAAATGAAGCAACAATGTCGAGCGATAAAGTTTATCGGGCACAGTTGATTTCGAAAGAAGAACTCGAAAATTTCGTAATTGGTAATCTCGTATCCATGAATTCGTTTTTCTCTACAACTCTTACACGCGCGTATGCCTTATTCTTACTGGCGTCTGGTCAAATTCGGCATCAGGATTTAGCATATGTGCTCTTTGAAATCAATATAAGTCGACGTTTGGCTGGTGCAAAGCCCTTTGCCGACATCACGACGAAAAGTGCATTTCCTGTTGAGTCGGAAATCTTGTTCATGGCTGGTAGTATCTTTCGTATTGTTGATATACAACTGGAAAACAATGATGTCTGTGTGGTAAAACTAGTTCTGTGTGGCGACGATGATCACAATTTAAAGACACTGTTTGAACATATGCGCGAAGATATACCACCGGAATGTACTTCAATAGCTTACGGTATTGTTCTTGCTAATGCTAGTAAATTGGAACAAGCTGAACGATTTTTTCGTAATGTTTTGAATGAGTTGCCTATTGACGATCCTCTCATCACGCATTGTTATCATCAATTGGGCAATGTACTGGATGATAAGGGCGAATTCGAGGAAAGTCTTGATTATTTCGAAAAAGCTCTAGCAAAAAAACTTGAAACGCTTAATGAGGATGACCCACGTCTAGCAAATACATATACATGTTGTGGTGTCGGTTATCTTAGAAAAAATGACCTTAAGCGTGCAATTTTCTCGTATCAAAAAGCACTAGACATCTATAAGAATGCATACGGCCATGATCATGAAGATGTTGCCATGTGCCTTTTCAATATTGGAGATGTCAACATATTCGAGAATAAATTTGAAGATGCACTTGAAATGTTTCAACAGGCATTGAACATCTGGATGAAATGCCTTCCCGAAAACCATCCAGATTTGGCTCGCTCTCATATGGCCATCGGTAATGCATACGTGCAGCTCTTACATTGCGATCAAGCTTTAATGCATTATGATACAGCGCTCAAAATAATGCTAAATTCTCTTCCATCTGATCATCACGAGCTAGCTGCATTACACGATAAACTGGGAAATCTCTATTATTCTACTGGGGATAACGAGCATGCACAAGAGCATTTCGAACAGGCACTCTTAATTAAACGGAAGCATTATTCATCAGATCACTCGAGCATGGTTGATACTTATCATGCCATAGGATTAATCTACAAGGATAGCGGTGACTATCAGCGAGCAGTCGAACTACTAGAACAAGCAGTAGCTATCCACAGAAATATACTACCACCTGAACACGAAAGTTCGATTCAACTTCTTCAAGATTTGACAGGGGCGAAAGCTGCTTTAACGTCGATGATGAGTGAGTTGGCATAATCCGTGAGGATCTAGGTGAGAGTCTTTTTCTCTGCATCGTACAGGCTTACACCCAAATATCTTCAAGTTTTCTATGAACGATGAAAATGGAAATATACAGCGAACTATGAAATTCTTTATTTAAAATAATTCGTTGAAATATACAAATGTAAAATATTGTATAAAAGTTATTTTCATATTGGTCAGGATTTGAATTTAACTATGACCTCCACCCAAACAATCATCGCAGACTTTTGTAGTTATTCTACGACCATACCCGTTACATGAGCATCCTGCACTATACTGAGACCATGTTTTACCATGGCGCTCACATTGATACATTCACTTTCGTCAGTAATGATTCCAAAACCATTGCATTTATAGCATCGTTTCCCATATCGTTTTCCCCTATCATCATAACTGTTACTGTAATTACTTGAATTGCCACCCATCTCGATTGATTTGTTGAATGCTAAATGATAGAAAGCAATAGTTAAAAAGTAAAAATGAATATTGCTGACGGAAGTAATGTTCTATCTATTTCTTTCTTGTTCTAATAACTTTCTCAGTCTTTTGCTGTGAATCTTAAAACAATGATAGATCAAAAGTTATTCACGATAGAGTTCACAATTCTTCCTACTAATCATAAACTCAACAATGAATATATTTTATATGCATATTGTTAAAATTCTCCTTAGATTAGATCTTGAGAGACGAAAAACGATAAGAACGAGACGGAAGAGACAGAAGAGAAATGAATTATGTGTCATGTCAACAAACAAATATATAAAAGAGAAAGTTGGAAAAAAACATGTATATAATGTATATAATTATATGGAATATTGCACAAGACAAATGATCTATTAAATTGATGGAAATGATTTACTATGAAAACGCCGAAAGAAAAAATGTCGGAAGAAAAATCGATCGATCATGTAATATGTCGAAACTTCTGGGGAGTCGTTATTGACCAATATTGATTTTCTTCCTATTATATTTCTCGTGTTTCTTTTCGTATTTTCTTTAATAGTTTCGTTGATCAACTAATACTTTTTTTGCAATAAGCCATTGGATGAGTGAACATTCTAGAATATCAAATAGACAGAGAACATACAAAAAAAGCAAAGCCTGCTCATTATAGAATCAGTAGGATCGATGTACTTGTTTTTTTTCTTTGTATCGTACTTTTGATCATTCGTTCGTCATATATTACTCGAATCAGACTGAACCTATTATAGCATTAGTTAGCTTGCTGTAAATAATTAACGTGAAATGTTTCTTTAATACGAAATATTGAAGTTTTTTCATTGATGCTTATGGCTAGGGGTGGGCCATTAACATTAATTTAATATTAATGTTAATGTTTCTCATTAACCATTAATATTAATGCTTAATGCTTTCTGAGAAAAACTTAATTCATTAATATTAATGATTAATGAAAAACATTAACATTAATTTTAAAATTAATGTTTTCATTAATCATTAATATTAATGTCAATGTTCTTGAATGATATTAACGGTTAACGGAAACATTCACCATTAGTATGAATAGTAATGTTTTCGTTAATATTAGGGATTATATTTTCATTAATCATTAATATTAATGTTAATGTTTTCATTAAAATCAATGACTTAATATTTATGGTTAATGTTTTCATGAAAGCATTATAACTTTCCATATTAAGTAATTAACACTTTCGGAGAAAACATTAGCTATTAAGATCAGTTAATTGATTAATAATTGTAGATAATGTTTCCTTAGAAAAGCCTAATTCAGTAATATGGAAAAATTAATGTTTTCATGAAAACATTAACATTAATATTAATGATTAATGAAAATATAATCCCTAATATTAACGAAAACATTACTATTCGTACTAATGGTAAATGTTTCCGTTAACCGTTAATATCATTCAAGAACATTGACATTAATATTAATGATTAATGAAAACATTAATTTTAAAATTAATGTTAATGTTTTTCATTATTCATCAATATTCTTAATAACTAAAATATAAAAATAACGCCTCTGATTATTGCGTATGTCCCTAATCTTATACTTTACTTTATATTTTTCAGTTTTCAGTACTTCTTTTGCTAATTAATGAATTAATTTTTTGTTAGAAAACATTAACCATTAAGATTAATGGCTAATGGAAGTCATTAATTAATGTCATTAATTAAGTTCCGTTAAAAAAAATGGTCCACCCCTACTTATGGCCTTGTCCGAATGCGTTTTGAGACACATAATCAGCATTGAATGAAGTAGAACGCGACACGTTCATGCCAGGCTAATATTGTTCGTTTATCGTAAATAATCAATCTATGACTTCATCATGTTGGCTAATTTGTAAACTACGCTAAACACAAACGAGGAAGATGTAGTGACGTCATTAGGGTGGAGTCAGGTGGAGCTCAGCCCCACCACCAGGAATTTCAGGTTACTGAGCAAAGTTTTCGAATCCAAGGGAATAAAACAACATTGATTGAACGTCGTGCTTAGAATTTTGAATTATTAAAGCTGTCTATGAATAAACGCTGAAAACAACAGAGACCTATCTTTCTATTCCTAAAATTAATAGGTGTCAAACACGCTAATCAGCATTTCATGTTTCTATTGTGTTCACAGATCTATGATAGACAGTCATTCGATTGATCTTTGCTTGTTGATTATTAAACGCCATACAGGTATAAACTTCAAGCCACTTATTGATAGCTTTTCAGAGCTTAAAAAATGTCGAATTATGTTAAAATAAGTATTTATTAGGTCTGTGACAGCTCACATTTCTATGAAATAGTTCTTCTTTTAAAGATTGGATCCATCAATCAATATATTTGGTTGAACCACACACACTCTCGTCATTTATCGGTTAATACAAAGCTAAAAGTTACTATTAAAAAAACTATTCTAAGTATCACATTTTGAGTGTATCGGCATTATGAGCGGTATAATGTTCATACCTACCCGCATTCAGTTTCACCGAGAAACTAACGATTTAAAGTATCAACTTCTTATGGTACACCTGGACATAACTTACAATTTTTCAATGAATTTTCTCTATATGACCGCACTCTCTCAGCAAAATCATATTTTCGAATTTTGATCTAAAACTTTGTAAACATAAAGACCTCAACAAAACTAGTTTACAGAAATAAAATCCAGGACTTTTCCATACTCTCTCCAAGATAAAGTACGAATGTTTCAAAATATATGACTTCTATTCAAAAGCGCTAATCTTGAGAATTTCATATTTTGGAGAGAGTGCGTCCAAAAGTCCTGGATTTTATTCCTATAAACTAGTTTTATCGAGGTCTTTATGCTTCCAAAGTTTTAGATCAAAATTCGAACATATGATTTTGCTGAGAGAGTGTGGTCATACAGAGAAAATTCACTGAAAAAGTCCAAGTTGTGTCCAGGTATGCCATAAGAAGTTGATACTTTAAATCGTTAGTTTCTCAATGAAAGTGATCATTTGATCCGACCAAGATCAATCAATTCGATTATCGGTACAAACCCTTCCATTCTTAGCTTTGTATTAACCGATAAATGATGGAAATGTGTGTTTCAACCAAATATATCAGTTTTTATTATTTTTCAAATTCTCGTAATTCCGACGGAATTTCGCCGTACTGACTTTCGCCCTTAACTTTCGGCAACTGCCAAGAGTTGTGTTTTTTTAAGATTTTCGGCTGTAAACAGGAGGGATCTTTGGCAATAGCCAATAGTTCAGATTGAAGAATTATCGGAAATTTTAATAAAAATATTAATCAACTAATTAATTATAGTAAAGAAACCACACTTTGGGCATTGTGTGATTTCAAGTTGATGAAAGTCCTTCAACAATATTAGTAGACCTTCGGAATGATGATATCGTCTAGTAACATATACAGTTTGTGGTGGAGTTCGCGTATTATATGATCAGAAATGTTTACGATAACGGATGGTTGAAATGCAAGCAGTATGTATAGCAGGGTGCTTGATGGACAAGCTGGTTGGTAGACAGGATGCTTGATATGCAGAATACTTGCTACTCAATGAGCTTGGTTGTCGGTCTATTACTATTACAAACGATGCGTATATCGATGAAGATCACCACTTATTGGTAACTAGTTTCAATGACCAGTAGTTTAATATTGGTTAAAACATGCAATCCAGTAGTATACTGATTCATTTTATAGTAGCAAAAATACAAAGAATAATGATCACAGAGAGATAAATACGACGGCCTTTTCATCACATAGAAGTCATCTTTTTTCCTTTATAGTCTGGTAATACCAGTGCATATTTATACTATATAAAGACGCGAAGAACAATGATCATAAAAGTATAAATACGACTGCCTTTTCATCGCATAACATTCATTTCATTTTCGTTGTAGTCCGAACACATTTTTCTGGTAGTGCCATGAAATCAAGTCGATTTTTTCAGATGTAGCTTTGCGAGACTTTCCAAATATTTGAAAGTGGGCGAGGTACTTGCTTCTCCACGTTATAGTATTGGAGAAACAGCTTATTGTTAATACTTGCCTGAGAAATAAGTTAGTCTTCTTGTAGAACAAGAATATGCCACAGCAAAACTAACGGAAGAAGAACAAGTAATATTTAAAACTCCAAAACAACTTGGTTAGCTGTTGATGTAAAAATATAATATAGATTTTTAATTTGTTAAATAAATTTCTCGCCTGTATAAGTGTTAGTAACACATGAATTTTCTTTTTATTTCAGAATCAGGCCTATTGAAATCTCGTCGAAAAATGTATCCACCTTTACCAACATGTCAAAATTTTGTTATACCAGATTTTATATCAAAAATTATTGATTCAATACCATTTTTACTATTTGATCAAACGCGTGATGAATTTGGTGGTCGATTACTTGTTTTTTCTTTACGAAGTCAAATGGATTTATTATTAAAAGCTACTGTTTTAATGGCTGATGGAACATTCGATTATTTGAACAAATTTATGTTATATTAGCCGTAAAAGATTCGAAAAGTATGATACGTTTGTTAGAGTTTATTCACACTGTTCTTCTGCACTTCTTCTAGCATATCCTGTTCTCTTTGCATTAACAAGCAATCGAAAAGAAGCAACATATATTGCTATTCCCGATGTTATTCGTACAGAAGCTCAACATCATGGGGTTTCATTTGCATCACACATGTTTATTAGTGATTATGAACAAGCATGGACGAATGCGGTGCAGAGAAAGGTAAGTGACGATATTTTTTTTATTTTTGAGAATTGTAATGAAAATTTTTAAATTTTAGTTAATAACTACATCAATATCCGAATGTTGGTTCCACCATGTACAAGCTATATATAGATGGATTCAGTCAAATGGTCTTTCAAAAACTTATCAAGAACATTAAGAAAAACGACAAATTTTACGTTCATTTATGACATTATCATTGTTGCCAAAGGATTGAGTGTTTGAAGGTTTATACATATTGTGAAAAGTCGTGCTGCAAAGCATAATGCACTTCGTCAATTTGTACTCTATTTTGAACGCCAGGGGTTTAAGATATTTTAACTGGATCTTTGGTGTGTTGGAGCTACAGCTTTTCGAACTAATAATTCAACTGAATGTAAGTACACTTCCAGTAGCTCTAGAACGTGGTTGTCGAATTTCGATTAACAGAAACAAGTAACTTGCAGGTGAAACCACCTAAGAAAGAACTTATTAGAGAGACATATCGACCAAAAATAAAAAATTAATTGAAATTTTTGTATTTCTTTAGCAAGCAATCATCGGTTGAATGCTAGAATAAGACAACGCCATCCAAACATATGGTATTTTTTGGTTCATTTAAGAACGGAAGAGGCATCCATCAGTCGCAACATTTTTAAAAAAGTTGTAGAAACAGGCCACCTATTAGTATCAGATCTTTTTTGTTTTTAATTTCACCTCTCATCATCCTCATCCTCTGAAAAACATTTGGAGCCTCCCCTATATTGAAATCGTTCCGCCGCCGTTGATACATTTACACCAATTGTTGGAAAAGAAATCTCGAACATTAGAAGATGTGATAACGTCTTTATCATACTTGGTTAGTAGTGGGAAGATTAAAGCATCCAATGCCAAACATTAATACAAACACTATATTAACATTTACATTTCAGAATGATTTTGAAACAAAAATTAGTTGATTCTCATTGTTGTTGATATTGAATGTATAGATGAAAACTCAATATAATCCTGTTTACTTATTTTTAATCATTTTATGTTAATTGATTGAATCTTGTTATGGTTTTTCCTGTTGTGTTTGTAAATTACTTGCAAAGTTAAATTGTCTTGTTTTGTGAATATTTGTGAAAATTACAGTTTTATATAAATATTTCATGGTTATTATGTTAATAGCTTTATGAAAGTTAGCTTTGTTTCGTGAACTGTGCTGTAAGATGCTTTAAATAAAATTTACAATCACAATCTTTTTTAAGAATATAAGAATAATTCGAAATTTAAAACGAATTTTTTTTTTATTTCGATTTCAATTTGTAGTTGTTTATCTAGTTCTTTTATAATAAAATAAATAATGAAATTTCTACTAGAGCTTTCGACTCAATCCAGTGGAGTCATTTTCAATATAAAATAGTTGATTTCATCTCGTTGAATATGTTGCTTTGTCCATCAACTACAAATTGAAGTCGAAATAAAAAACAATTTTTCGTTTTAAATTTCGAATTATTCTTATATTCTTATTATTTGAAAAATCCTATGACTGAAAATTTATTATTAATAACAATCTTTTTTGTTTATATTGAATGAAAGTTGGCAGAATATATAACGATATGTTTTTAATCAGATATAAAGCGCACTACCAAATTATCCTTCCTATCTACTTTTATTTTAGATTTACAACTCCTCCAATTATATTCTCACTCACCATCCAAACACTCTCAGTGGCATGGAATCTACAGCAGTGATCCAGTCAAACATAATCCCACCAACACATAGAATTGTTTTTGATGATATCGTCAAAGATAAAGGTTACACTATCATTGATTTACTCAGCAAGCTTTATACCTAGACCTCTACGAATTATATATAGTTTTACTTTTTACTTTTTCATATTTACAATTTCTTTCATTCATGGATGGTCTAGAAAAAAAACTCAGGAAGTGCCATCAGGGATACAATAGGCCTTATCCTGGTGCAGCAGAAAGTAGTATTTTACAAAAGAAACTACAGAAATTAGTAAACTATGGTCTTCGTGGCAAACGAAAAATGATTTTAAAAAGAAGCAATGATAATAATAGTAGTAGAACTTATTATCTAAAAAAAGACAATGATAGTAACACAAATTTGTATGTAAAAATAAGTAACAACAAGAAAGTGAAAAAGCAAGGTCTGCCATATTAATTGATCTTATTTGATATTAAACTGTATTTCAATTTTTAGGTCAAATCTTGCAACTATTAGATAGACGAAAAGAAATATCGGTTGCTACTGATCTTTTTCTTAATTCATTATTTTATTCAACGAATCTTGCTTCTGCTGCATCTATCGAACACATTCTTAAATCAAAACAACTTGAAGTTTCAACTAAAAAAATTCAATCTATACATACATGCATCGCGCAACATGTTCATTCTGAACCAATCTATGAACAAATAGAAATTACCGATGATGAAAGTGATATGTAAGACCAAAAATGCGAACTTTCTATTGATCAATCTTTTCATATCTATTTTCTTAGCGAAGAATTTGATCCAATGCTATTTTCATCACCCTCAAATAGTATCAACAACAGTGATATTGAAAATCCTACTCAGATCTTAGAAGCAAGAATGAGTGCAAGTAAACAGGCAAGATCCAAAGAAACAAATATTGTAACACAAACTGATCTTATTCAATTAACATATGACGTGATAAATGAGGAATCTTCAACAACAAACAATGAAGATGGACTAAATTTGAATTTCATGTTTAACAACGAACAATCTGTAACTATTCTTACTTAAATCTAGAAATAAGGGTTTACTTTTATTATAGGATGATTTGCGATGAAAGTGAATGTAATGAGTTAGAAGCTACAGCAGTAATAAAAACTACTAGTGCTGCATCTACATCATTTTCAAATTCAAATCATATACTAACAACAGAATCATTTAGAGAACAGATAGAAATTAACACCGAGTTACCCTCAATAAATTCAACTACAGCTACTGTAATTAGTTAGTATTGAAGCAGCAATTTCTGTATTAAAAGATATAACGGATAAAACTGAAGCAATACCTGTTGAATCACGAAGGACAAAAATAAGTGAATATTTGGAATTTGTAGATGAATGTTTGATGATAAACACAGACTCAACAAACATTGCTGCTGTTGTGGAGGTTGTCACCGAAAATGTTCCAAAACAACAACCAGAAAACAAATAAAAATAAATAAAAAAACGTGGTTTCACACCAACAGGAGAACGATATTATTTTATTCGCTCACGAAGATAAATTTTGTTTCCGTGCTTAATCATAGTATAGATATAAAACTGTGAAAATTGTTTCCTTATTTTTTTGAAGTTATATAGATGTTTTTTCATGTATTTGGTGTGTAAAATGTCTTTCAGTAGGTGTTTTTTAACTTTATAACATTGGTTTGTTTTTTGTACACAAGATAAAAATATGAACTAGATCCATAGAAAAGATGTTATTGACTTGACAAGTGATATTTAGATATTGATTCAGAGACAGTCCGATTTTCCTAAGATATAATAATAAGAACTGTTTCAATCAGAAATCATAAGATAGAGAATCCAATTATTATGAAGTTTCTTTTAGTTTCATTCTCTCTTCCATCTGGTGTTCATGCTAATTACATTTCAGACTGCCTGTTTTATACCCTGCCTGCTATCCACGCTGCTTGTTACGTGAAATTGGAATGAATTATAATTGATGATGAAAGAGGTAAGTAACAGAATGTATCGAGATGCTAAGAACAATTTTATAAGAATTGGAAATCATCTATCGCCCAAAGTTCACGAAATAAAATAATTGCCTAAAGTGGAGTCTCTTTACTATAATTAATTAGTTGATTAATATTTCTATTAAGATTTCCGATAATTCCTGAAACTGAAATATTGGCTATTGCCAAAGATCCCTCCTGTTTACAGACGAAAATCTTAAAAAATACAACTTTGGCAATTGCCGAAAGTCAAGGGCGAAAGTCAGTACGGCGATATTCGCGTTTCCCGACAATTGTGGAAAACCGAGAATATTGCCCAATTTCACATGACCAAATTTCACTAAATCGAAAAATAGAAATACAGCGCAGACTATGAAATTCTTTATTTAAAATAATTCGTTGAAATATACAGATGCAAAATATTGTATAAAAGTTATTTTCATATTCGTCAGAATTTGAATTTAATGATGACCTCTACCGAAACATTCTTCACAGACTTTTGTAGTTGTTCGACGACCATACCCGTTGCATGAGCATCCTGAACTATACTGAGACCATGTTTTACCATGGCGCTCACAACGATTACATTCACGTTCATCAGTAATTCTTCCGGAACCACTGCATTTATAGCATCGCGCCTCTTGTTTTTCGTGAGTACGTCCATGTCTTTCCTCCATATCATGATAATTGTTGTTGTGATGGCTAGAATCACCACCCATTCTGTTTAATTTGTTGAATGCTAAATGATAGAGATCAGAAATCGGAAATCAAAAATAAAATAAAATATTGTTGAAGCAGCAAAACTCTATCTGCTTTATTCGTATCTTAATATATTTCTCAGTCTTTTTCTGTGAATCTCAAAACAGTGATAGATCAAGAGTTTTTTAGATAGAGTTCGTAATTCTTTTCACTAATCATATACACAGCGATGGCTACATTTTCAATGTGGAATGTTGAAATTATTGAGGATCAGATACTGGAAGATTAATAACGGTAAGAATAGGACGAAAGAGAAGTGAATTATAAGTGCCATGTCAATAAATAAATCTATTAAAGCGAAAGTTGGTAAAAAAAAACATATATATGACGCACGTGCTTATAAAAAATATTGCGCAATGGACAAATGATTTATTGGCTGATGACAAGAAAGCGCTTGTTCTTCAGTGGTTATTTCCAAATACGCTGCATGAATGCTTCTTTTAAAACTGAGTGGAATGATAAGATTTATATACATTTTGAATCAACATAAAATGAGGAACAAAGTGTGATGTATGTATTTTTCTGGCACTGTGTAGAAAATGAATAGGTGACGCTAGCTGTTTTTCTATGATAGGGAGTTACTATAGGTATGATATGGTTGTATGAATACCATTTTATCGGCCTCCTTGCTATTACTGCTTATAGTCACTTAATTTCAGCAGAACCAATGAAACGAAGAACACATGATATCGCTAGTGAATGACACAAAGAAACTTTAAAAAAGTAGAAGTGCCAGAACGAAAACATTATAAAAAAAATATTGTAGGTTATGCCTAATTTTTGTGTGTAATTATTTTTTCATTTTTCCCAGATTTAAAAGTCAACTACACAAGTGTATAAATGAATTCATTTTTAGAAATAATACAATGATTTATTCACATTCATCAGTAGACCATAAGGTTTAATAGAAGAGGAAAGAAATGAATATGCACAAGACATTCTAATGACATCTACAAGTATAGTATTGGACTGTTTATTTTATCTATGACAATTATCCCCTGCACGTGAATGAATCATGCCAGGTCAAGTAGTCATCATGTGCGGCTTCATTAGTGGAAATAATTGCTTAAGTTTATCGTCCACGCCCTTGAGAGCGTAATATACCGTTTCAATTTGCGTCTAGGCCTTAGTTTTATCAATTCAATTCACCGCATGCCCACGAAATGAACCTAGATGGATTGTTTCGCGACATAAAGTATTTGGATTATGAGTTGTTGGTTATATCCGCTATGCTAAAGGGCTTATTAAAAATCATAGTCTCAAACCTTCTCTTTCACGTTCAAATAAACGAATGACCTAATCTTTTCTTAATATCGTTTCGATGATACTACTATTCCAAGATTTATTTTTGCCAATAAGATACACAAGTATCAAGCGTTGTTTTCCTCTAAATTTACTGTTGGCTACCATGACATAATTCACCATTATTGGATTGCAAATTTATGATCAAATGCTTATTTCTCTCTGAAAACACACATCTGTGTTTGAATTATACATTATTTAAAAGTACAAAGTATCGGCATATTTAAATTTCAATTCTTTTCTCTAGTGAAACATCCTGTAAGCAAGATCTGGAAATCTTGGGATCGGTAAGTAAGATCTTATCAAGATCTTAAAAAGATAATTGGTATGTTCATATCTTGGTTGTATCAAATAAATCTGTACCTAAGATCTTGGCAAAATCATGGAAAAGATATCGCTTACTATTATCTTCTCAAAAGATCTTGAGTAAAAGAGAAAACGACATCATTAGTGTATTTTCATGCTCTCTAGTCATTCACCATTTTTTTATGCACACCCAGCTGTATATAAACAACATGATTGAACACACAAAACAGAAATTTTCAACATAATTATTTTTCTAAACTATTTCTCGAGCAATGATTATTCGAAAAAATGCTGATCTCAATCAGTGATCGAGAGAGGACTATCCTAAAGTGGTCTGACGGAGATCGGGCTAACTTAAAGTCAGTCAGATCCTAACATCTGACTTGCTTGAGCTATTTAGGACAAGAATAATTAAAATAAAAATAAATTGAAAAAATATAAAAATATGCTTTTACAGAAAAACGCAAAACCTGCGTTGTATGATAGGTTCGAACAATGCTTTCAGAATGCGCTACCCAAGATCTTGCTTACAAGATATTCGATTAGGGTTATCTTAATTATGCACATTACTATCTAATATGAGTTTATTCAAAAAGAGTATATTGATTTGAAATTCCGATAAAGTTCTCTTTGTGATTTATCTAATATTTTTTCTCATTAGTTAGGATTTGACAATAATTAAAAGAAAATGCGATTGATTGATTGTTTCGTATTGGCTATAGCTATATCAGTAGTATTATCAATTGATCTTCTTCAAGTTTCAGCTTGTCTTTCAGGAAGTTTAATTTCATGTGCTGGCTTGGGAGGCATCCATTTGTTGGATGTAATACACAAGAAGGCAGAGCGAATGCTGCTGATGGTGCTATTAAGGACCGGATCAGTCAAGAAACGAATGTAGGTATATTCATTTCAGCAGATCAATTTGGAAAAGGTAACCAAATATTTTTCCCATGTTTGTCACAATCATGTCATAATAAATATTTTGAAAACAACAATAGACACAAACATTCGACAGGCTATATAACAAAAGCGACTAGAAGCAACTGAAGTTGATGATATTAAGAGCCAGATTCACTTATAGTTTCTCAATAAATGGTGTCATCATCATCACGATATATAGTATTAGAGTAACTATAAACACCTTTGCCATCAGGTATCACTCTATTGGTTTCTAAACTACTTATGAATATTAAATATAGTCATGAAAAATAAAAAACTGTCTAATGACAATCTCTAACGAAGATCAAAATATTCAAAAAGATTGCATTGAAATTATTTTTCATCTTTGTAAAACACACCTATCCACTACATTAATTTCGAATCATGCGTCATGTTTTTCGAATAAATGTTTCATTCTTTGGCATAAAAGTGGCCACAACTGCATGATGATCAGTCGCACCATGAGTATCTACAATGAAACACTCTGTCAATACCCATTCATCGTCAGGTAATGGATGCAAGAAGATATAATCAATACGAGTGTTGTGTGCACATGTTGTGATGTTTTCATCTTTTAATGTCAGATTTATCTGCCGAAAAGCATCTTGATAACACCAGGTATCGACCACTTGTTTGGTAAGTTCGAATCTAGGTGGTTCCCATCTAATTTTTTCACGTTTTCCAACAACGTTTTCATGGAAATATGTGTCGGAATAATCATCTCTTGTCAACGCATTCATATCACCGAGGAGTATATTTATATTGTAAGAAAGAGGAGAAAAAGCATTGATTTGTTTCAATCGTTCATCTTCATCAAGATGATCAAGATGTGTCACAGCAAACGTTCGATTTTGTACGAAAGGATGATCACCACCCAAACGACAACGAAGCATTGCACGATCACCTCCTTTGCCGCTGGTCATAATTTTTTGATTAAAGTAATCAAGAATTGGATGACTAGAACCTATTGCATTTCCGTATCTTGTTCCATGGGATGCACCAAAAACTGTGTGAGTTAATGATAGATCATTACACATAAGTATCCAATCATCATCGTTAATGACTTCTTGTACAGCGAGCACATCCAGATTATATGGAGCAAGAATCGACACTAATTCTTTTGCATTACGTTTTAACGTTTTTGGATGAATAAATGAATGGACATTAATTGTACCTATACGAAACGATGTCATCGTAGCTGGAGAATGTGCCATTTATAATTACAAAAATTGTTTTGTCAGTCTTTTAACATGAATGCCATAATCAATTTTGCAAGTGCACAAATTTTCAAATACTATGCGTCATTCTTACACGTGCCCACTGCCACGACTACACTATTTTGCTTTCTTCTTAACTTTTCTTCTCTTTTTATGCCAACATGAAGGTTGTACAAGTCAATAGTGGAGGTAATGGTAAGCACGAGTTTCGCCATTTTGTCCTATCTGCATGAAAATAATGGCGATCTTATTCAATGCATTCCTGTTTTTATGCATAATTTTTTTTAAAACTAATTATTATTTTCAGAATCGAGAAGTTGTGAATGTTTATATGAGCCACAAGCATTTCAGAATCCATCTTATACCAAACAAAAAATAGATTTCAACATTAAATTACGCAAGTTATAGGCGGTAGTATCAAACTAGATGCAATGCCCCTCTGTTGATGCGTAATTCTTGATTCATTCGAATAAAAAAAGAAAGTCTCCCGAAATTTTACAGTTCTATCTACTATCTCCTAGTCCATGATACCTTGAAAATAGTTTTGCACGAAAAGTATCAGTTCGAAAACTCTTTGTAACGTCTTATCTTCTTCTACGTAGCTGTAGTAAAAGAGTTTTGAACTCTAACAAAACACAGAATATGAAAAAGTTCTTCAGACCTTCATCTTTTCTAGAGATTCGTATTAAGAAGAAGGATTAGAGTATCTTGTAGGTAAATTATTTTTTTGAGGTTCGGTATAGCGTCGAGTTGTTAACATATAGAAATAGTTTTTAATTGTCGAACGTTTGCTCCAAATGAATGGTAATAATGCAACAGCAGTGATAATGCCAAAGATGAGAAATAAACCAGCCATGGATTCAATTCGCATAGAACTCAGCATTTCACTTTGATTGTCACAATTGGATGTTTGAAACCATTTCTTTCTCAACATATCCAAGTGGCCTAGCTCTCTTAGCGCCAAGATGTTCATATCTAACTCTTGTCCATAAAGCCAATTCTTCGACATAGCAATACCAAACAGAGTTTCATCAAAAGTTTCCCCCACCACAGTTAAATTACAATAGACATGATGAGTTACATAATCTGCAATTCCACTATCTAAAATAGTTGCATCAATAGTTCCGTTGAATAGACTATTTAAAATCTGTTGCCGGGATGTTGCTGGATAAAAGTTTCGGCTACCTCGCGAAATTTCTCTTACGTAATACTGTTCCATAGTTGTCTCTTTAATAATACCAATACGTTGAGAAGGTATCTTTCCTTTTTTTAAATCATCAATTCCATTAATAATGTGTTTTGGCCTTGCTTTTGTTAAATTTGAAGCTAAGTTTGCAGTATAAGTAGCGACTAGCACTAAGCTTAACATGTATAAAGCAATAGTTAGTAAGCGTCCCGATGCTGTCGTAGCGTGAAAATCGACACCATATCCCATTATTGTACCAATTGAATACCAAATAGTCATGACACCAGCAGACACTATCGATCGATTGCGTAAAGCTGCATTTTCTCCTCTCTCTAGCAGACATATCAAAATAGAAGCATAGATTGTAGCAGCCAAGGTGGCTATCCAAAGTTCATTTGAGAATGGTTTCATGTACGAGAACAGATCTACATCGGCGGACAGTGGTTTTCTAATGATGATGCTTAGTGAATTATCAAATATAGATGTGGAAAATGAAACTATTTCTCTTCGTGTAGCGGTTACTGTTATATCACCGACCAAAATATCATAGTCTCCTTTTTCTAATGCAAGGATAGCTTTTGAATAAGAAATATTGCCAGGAATCGATGTGATATTAGGAATAAAATTCATTTTCTCGCGTAAGTGCTCAATAAGGTCAGGTAGATAGCCGATTAATTTTGTTTTGCTAGATTCGAACTCACCTTGCAAATATTCTCTGATTGCAAATGGAGCTGACATGAATATGCCAATGTTAAGAGTAGTACCAGATAAGGTAGCACGATCACTCGGTATCACACATGAATTATTAGGCCATACAATAGTAAGCGGTTCTTTATACGTTTCCCATAAATTCTCTTCAGAATATTTCAACACGGGCATAAAACCTACCCTCGCCGATAAAACTTGAGCATTTTGTGAAAAATAATAGATACCTTTGCTTCGATCTGTTCCATTTACTCTGTATTCTATGGGTCCTGTTACGCCAATGAATGCCATTGAAGTAATTTGATCGAGAAATGAACTAGCATTCATCAAGTAGCGATCGAAGCAGAATGATGAGTTGACCAAGGATATACAAGAACGAGATGTCTTACGATTGCTCGTTGTACATAATCTTTCCAAAGATTTAATCAGTAACCAAGTAGCATCGAACGCAAATAGTGCGTATTGGTCAACATCATTGCTTCCTGGAAATGATTCTGGCTCATATTGTTGCCATATTTCGTAGGCTGCATGTAACAGAGACACATTGATACTAGTATTGAAAACATTCCCAGTTATTGGTTCGATAGTCAACATTCCTACCAATTTATGAGAAGATTCTTTGCTGAAACTGTCTAATGAAGGACTACAACTGAGAATCCAGAGAAAACGCGGGCCTAGAACATCTTGGTCCAAAGCATATTGTAAAATATTCAACGTAAACATCGGTACTGCCCACAGCACAATAATACGTGTTCCACTATTGAGCAGATAGTTTTTTAGATCACCTTGAATAGTACGTGTTGCAATGTCAAATTTTATCATTTCTCTGACTTTGAAATTGTTTCTCGTGAATGACTCACTGATTACTCTCATACCACTGTATCCGTATGCATCATTTTGATAAATGATTACACACGATGTCCAATTGAATTTCATGAATAGATGAACAATAGACAATGCAGCTGATGTATCCGATGGTATTGTGCGATAAAACGAAGAATATGCACTTCGACTAGATAGATCAGGATCAGTAGCAGTATAGGATACGACAGGAATACCAATAGTTTCAGCAAAAGCGGCGATCATGTGTGCTTCACGAGACAGTCTCGGACCAACAATACCAACTATGTTCGATGACGAAACAGCAAGACAGGTTTTTTTCAAACTATCTATCACATTGCCACATGTTTGTTCAATGTGCCATCCGAGTGGATGTTCATCTACAGTTATGTTATATCTTTGCGAGAGTATTATTGCTGTTTTGAACATGGCAAGTAATTGAGCTGATTCTGATCTTGAGTCTGACAAGTTGATATCATTTTGAAAGAGACCCAGTAATTGAATCCTTGAGATAGTTGAAGGTGGCCAAGCTGCTCGTACGCCCTGTGTATTTAGCTGATTCGACATCAAATAGAATAGCACGCATCGCCAGAACCAAAGCAAAAACATAATCGTCGATCTACAATGCAGATGAGGCGAGTTAATCTTATCGATCATTTCTCTTTGCAACAATAAATAGTTAGCAGCATATAGGATATGAATATATGATCATAGGAGCAAAGAGGGCTTGTTTCAAAAGATCACAATTAGCTTTTTACGTGATTTACTTAGCATCGACATGCGCTTAGGCTTATTATATCTAGTCAAACATCATCAAAAACTAAGCAAAAAGTTACAGTATACACAAATATTGATCGAAGGATTATTTTGTAAGATTGAAGAATACAGAAAAAGGTGAAAGAAAAGTGGGAAAAGATGAAAATTTGTTTCAAACTATATTAAGCTCGTTATATGAAGATAAATTCCCATTCTTTGTTACCATTGCCATGTGTGCATGTATGAGCATGTTTTTTAGCTTACTCATGCATCAAATTTCACTTTGTCAGTTTTGTCATACATGTCAAACATGTTTAACCAAGTTTTTCAAAGTTAGTCATCAGAAATTGAAAAAGAGAAAGACAGTGCAATTATGCCTGTTGAATCAATAGGATTTTTTTAATACCGTCTTAAATCTCACTCCGATTGATAATATCAGTACATATCCTGATATTTATATTTTGGTATTTCTTTTATGTAAATAAAAATGAACAATGAATTTTGTTATATCACCGGTAAAATGACTTCATAAAATTCTTATTTATAAATATATATTTAAAGCCATGAACAAAAAAAAAGAATCGGTCTATTTGAAGTAGAATGTAAATCAAAGAGTGGTCAATGATAGTAGGATTCCTGGTTCATGTTGTTCCTTTATTCCAAAGTACAACATCGTTGCCCAGAGAGGATGATCGATGCATAGGTATTGCCTGTTTTGGACTGTTTCGTGTTGAAGATACCGATACAGCTGTCAACGGTTTAGAAGATACTTGTATCTTAGATAAAAGAATAAATTTGAATGAATATTCAAACCTAGATATTGAAGAAAAATCAACCTGATCTGCATAACTTTCTATATGTGAGTTGTTCTAAATCATGAAAACGAACAGAAACTAGAAGTTATATAAATAATTAATTCTAATTCAACTATACTTGTTGTAATTCTTTTTGAGTTTTCATAAGAACTGATTTCACAGTTGTCATTAATTCATTTTTGAAATTTTCAATGTCTTGTTGTTGATCTATCCTTGCCGTTAAAACGTTTGAACTTCAAAAATAAGATTTAAATATAATCATCAAATTAATGTAAACAATCAACTAGGTACTCAATTGTAATATTTGTTTTGTTCGTTTTTTCATGATCATTAATTGCAGGATGTTTGTCTTTATTTTGTTCAAAAATTGAACAAACATAGCTATATGTTGCAAAATTTTCAAATGCATCCCATTGGCTATTTTGTGAGTCGTTTATTGGAATCATTTCTATGCTAATTTTTCACCAGTATGTATAAAAGAAAATTTTTCAATGCAAAAAAAGACGCTTTATAACTTACTAAAAATAGGCGAGAATGTTTTTGATCGTGGAACATGATGTTTATTTTTATCTCGAGTTCAAATCAAGTAATATAATATGTGGAATAATAATTAATGGAGGATAAGATAAAGGTATTCGTTCGAAATACTCACGAACAAATGAATAACGTTGATAACGCCAATAAAATTCAGCGTTTTGCTGAATTTTACCAATTGAATCGCTAGATCAAAAGACAATCTAACACATAGATGGAACCGGTCGAGCTTTTTCTGCCCGGACCGGACCGGACAGTTACCGGCCGGTCTATAATAATGTGAAACTAGCGGATAGGATGTGTGCGCCACACTCATCAGTGCTTGGTTCTCAAAACAATTCATATAGGTTCAGTGTAGCGAAAACAAAAATGATAATTTAAGAGAAACTCCTGTTTGAAGCTGACTTTATTGAAATATTGCTAATGTAATGCTTAACAAGTGATCTTGCGATTTATTTTCTGTTGATTGTGAACTAAAACTTAACTGTAGGGTTGACATACGCAGAATATTCTATAAATAAAATGTCATAGAAAGCAAACGACGAACAGATAATCGAAGGAGATAAAAACTAACTGTTTTTTCTCTGCTTGGTAAAGTGCACTACCATACAAGAAAAATAGACTTTATTCGCTTCATTAATTTTCGATACTATATGATTCTACACCACCGAAATAATATATTTAGTCAATCTGATACCGTAACATGAAGTGATATTAGTGGTCGTTTTTGTATGTCATAGAAATACATGAGAGACACTTGTACCTATGCTTGCTGCTCTTGAATGTAGTGCACAACGAGCAATCAGACTAAAGTTGGTGTTTTTTTTAATGTATAGTCAAATAGACTGATGTTGATTGATATCGTATCATGAATCGTCACTGCGAGAAGTGTTTTCAATTGGATGTTCATGCTTCCAGCTGCTCTAACTTTAATTATTTGGAGTAGCCAAAGAAACAAAATTTTGACATGACCAGGCAAACCCCAATGGGTGAACAGAAAGGTAATACTTTGCCGAAATCCAGTTGCAGAAGTGTAGATTTCAACTTTTCGCCCGCTTAACTAAACTTTTATCTCAATAACTATGCGGCATACAGTAATGAAGCAAATATTGATTTTAATCATAATTAGAATTTACACTAGCGTCTCACATTTTTCTATTGCTAGTTTTGTTTGTTACAGCTTTCATTTATATTCGAATCCGAATTTACTAGCGGCTAATAAACTGTAACGTAACGCAACTGTGTTTGTTCACGTAAAATACTGGAAAATAGTTTTAAAAAAGCTCACCAGTGGCTTATGATTAGTATGTGATATTGGTTACTTCTTACCAATTATAACTTATTTCTTTTCCATGACCGCGGAATGAAAGCTGGTATCGTTTAAACGGTTTTTCTTCCGAAAAACGTACTATCAATTCCGATCGAAGTTCTGCAGGATGAACTATTAGAAGGCGTTTTCAATCGTTAATTATTTGCCTGTATGCTAACACTAGACAACTGTATGTAACTGTAACTTCCTCTCATGTACACCATAGTTATCAGATAAACTGCCGACGAAAACGATTCTATGCCATCGTACTTACATGAACTTTTCTCGCCGAAGGGAACAGTGACTTTCTATTACCTCCTTCCCCTGATATCCACTTATACAAATATGTCTTCATTTATAATTTATTTACTCGAAGTTTTATCGAAATAACACTTATGGATATATATATGTGGTTAGCGAAGCCAATTATTGTCAAGTAAATGTTGAGTCGAAACATATAACATAAACGCATGAATATTTATGAGGATAGGTCGTTATATTTTTATTGGGGTGAATAATCAACATCAAAAGATGATTATGAAAAACGAAATTTCTCAAATAAACAGTTGCTTGGAGAATAATGAATGTTAAAAATGCTTTCAAATTCAACAGTGAAATCATATCCGCGAAGTGAACACGCGCGGTTTTGCACCGTCTACGGAGAAAAACCCTTTTTTTCTATGTCCCACTCTGGTTCAACATAAAAAAGGTTGTATAGCAAATACTTATTTCTTTCTGATTATACCAATAGGTGACAGATTTTAATTATATTTGTTTAAAAGAAAAACTAGGTTATTTTTAACTTTCTTACGTTTAATTTACTTTTATCAGACTCAGAGGATTTCTGGAACTTCGTCAATTGGCGATATTCCAGGGGGTCTTTTGGCAAAAGTATGGCGCAGTTTCGCCACTGGCGAAAGTCTTATTGGCGAAGTTCCGGAATCTCCTATTTTATTCTTAATCCATTGAAGTTTTCAATGTTTTCAATAGATTTAGTGCAGCAACTCTTGAAATCTCTTTCTCCAGGAGATTAGACGCTGCAGTCATTTCTTCTTCCGAATTAGTTCGCTCTTGTTCTTATAATCATACGTTCATGTGGGGCATCAGGACCTCGTGTTCGATTGACAACATCTCTACTTTTAATTAATTTCTGCTCCTGTTCATCATGTTTTGTATAACGTGAATAGGTTTCTTCCGAAGGTGTGAATTTGGGTGTGTTCGCTTAATGCTTGGCACCCGCACCCACAAATAAAAAAAAAAGATGATGATTATTAGAAAACAAACTTTATTCAAATAACAATCACAAATAAAGTTCATGATTTCTTCAAGTATAAAAATATTCGTGTTTATTGTAATATTATGATCTGACATTGAGCTATCCATAAGTGAACACAGAAAAAAGCTACAATAGATTAAAAGTTGAGCATGTTTTACGTATGAGAATGACTTCATTCCTTAATCAGCCTATATCTGATCTTGTTCAGGTAAAAGAAGTTTCGAAGAATTGAATATAATACTTCCAATGTGCGACATACGATATACACTTGTATTGTTTCGGTGGTTGAACAGTCGTTTAATGAATGCCAAGGGATTCGAATTAAATCGAGCTCGATCAATCTGTAATTGACGACGGTGTTCTGGGTCTTTGACAAATCCGTCGACTGAAATCCAATCGTTTTCAAACGCATTTTCTTCTGTTGGTGTTCGAAGTTTAGGACACAATGCTAAACATTGACAGTAGGCTGTTTGCTCGTCAACAGTTTCGAAATAAGCTGTACCATTAAAAATAAATAATTCAACAAGCCAGTCCAAAGGAATAGCATCATGATTAGATTCGACGAAAGGAGGGATTGTCAAAGTAGGCGTATTGACAAAGATCGATTGATTTCGTTTTAGACGAGGAAGTAATAAACGTAACGATGTGCTGGCTGCTTCGTTAGATGTTTTCTGACGATAAAGATACTGCAATTGTCCCATCAACCAGTTTGCTTCGAAAGCATTGACAAAAATAACATGTTGACTTCGATAAAGCATCAGCCAACGTGGAGAACGTAAAAATGGATCCAATACGTCTCCATCGGTTTCAATCACTCGTTGAAACTCTGCCGAAATCCAAAAATTTGGTTGCCAACTGTCAGATTGACACATTTCAAAGAATGTGGAATCAATAAACGCATAGGCCAAGGGACGAAATACTAAGGGTAATTCGGCCAAGTTTAACATCGGCTCATCGAGATCGCACAATCTTTTTATTTCATCGTGTAGGATAGGCAAACATGAACGAACAGATCGAATAGATTTTTGTTCTTCTTCCTTTTCATATTCTTGTTCTAACTCTTGTTCTAATTCTCGTTGTTGTTCTTCATCTAAAAATTGCGATAGACGTTGCTTCAGTCCACCATAGATAAGCATTCGTTTTTGTACAACATTGTGAATTTCTTCTGACCCAAAAATATTGGCATGTTGATAGCCAATCGTATAAATCTCTGATATTGTTCTTCGTACTTTCGATTGACCATACATAGATTTTAATTCCACGATTTCCGGTTCCAAGCATTTCTCTGCTAGTTCTTCCATCATTTCATTTGTATAGATTTGCAGATGATTCATCCATTGAATATTTTGAAAGGCACTGATTCGTCGTTGATAGCTAAGACTTTGTACAGCCCAATGATGCAATCCGTCCCAAGTGGCTTGTTGTGTGTTCTCATATACCCAACGTAGAATGTCCTTGAGTTCAAATGAATCATTTAGATTGTGCGGATTTTGCTCCAGTAAATTTCTTTTCAACAAAACAATGTGTCGATGTACTTCATCTGAACTCCAAAATGTTAATGAATGGCCATTTCCTAATCTACGCATTCGCATGCACGCTTGCACAAAACGATCTTTGGTAACACCACTTCCTAAGGTAACTGCAGCTGTGAATCCATTCGGGAACTTAAAATCAGTTCCTCGCGTATGTACTTCGTCTAGATAAATTACGCAACGATCTAATTGTTCGCTAGCAGGCGATGTAAGAAATGAATGATGTTGAAATTGTCGATCACAAACAACGACACAGTCGAATTCGAAATAAACAGCATAATCAATTTTGTTTTTATCCGATAGTTTCAACCATTTCATAGCTATTTCACGATTTGTACCTTCAACCAAAAGAGCGCCTACATCAAGAATAACATTAATCATCGGTTTGTAATTCGTAATTTCATATAAGATTGTTTCCAAGTTCGCATACACTGGTAAATATCGATAGTTTTCATTTTCCGGCTGTAACAAATTATTAATCACAACAGCATCAGTTTTTTGCAACTGTGGCAAATCACATTGATGAATATCAACCGGCAATAGTAATTGCGTATCATTCGTACCACTGAAACCAGTAATAATATTTGTTCGTTCTGCTGAAGAAAAATTCCAAGCAGAAGCGACTAATTTATATGGAAATTGTTTCGCTTCTCGAGGAAAGACGAAATGGTTCAAGAAATAATTAATGATTGACATATTAAAGCGTAAAGTAAAAAAAAGTTGACGGATTTCTTGTTGGCAATCTTTTAGACTGATCTTTTTCCATTGCTGTTTGATGCTCTGAGGTGTATCATTATCATCTTCGTGTGAAATCCATTCTGCATAAATCAATTCCGGATCTTGTTCTTCTCGATTTAAACGATCGAAGCACTGAAGCATTTGCGCATCATTTAAACCGCTGTAATAGTACGAAAGTTGTGTGAGGACAAGCGCAATGTCTGGATGACCGAACTCGGTTCTCTCTGCCGGAACGTCTTTAGCCCGAAATGGTACAGCCATTAATCGTTTAAAATTCGAAGTGATATTAACACCATAATTAACGCGATAGCGCTTCTTAAAAGCAAAATATAGCACTTCCGATGATAGTAAACCACGAATGATAAGAAACATTTGAAGGTCACCGGATGAGAAACGATCACCGAGAATATCTATTGAGATGTTCGTGTCTAAAATGAACGATAAAATACACTGTTGATCCGTTTTTCGATATGATCTTTGATTGAGCCAATCATTCGCAATCTTCGCACACAATTTGGGAAACGGTCCATATGATAATAATCGAAATTCAGGAAAACCACTTTTACGCTCCGGTGATTTATAGTAAAGGTCATTTTGATCACTTTGTGAAATATTTACAGCAAATTTTTTAACTGAGCTCAATATCCATTGAATGAGTTCCCAACGTTCTACACCACCGTCAACTTGTTGTTGATGACCAACTGTATAAATTAATTGATATTTGCAATGTAAAATTTCATCAGATTCATCTAAAACATCTCGAATATATTTTTTCAACCATCTTTGTACACTTAACATCGAACGACCTGTATCAAATTCGTGCCGTCGACATGCATCAATAGTAAGTAAATCGAAAGAAAGAATATCTTCAGGTGTAACCAATATCACATCACAATTATGTAGTCCGTGTTCAAAACGTTCGAAAATCTGATTGATTTGTTGATCATTAAAATTCATATCACGACGACAAGAAAATGAAAAAATGCGTCGATTTAATAAAGCTCCTAATTTCAATCGTAACGATTGATAATTCATAGGGAATAATGATTTCAAAATCACTATACGAACTAAACTTGATAAAGGCGAACATAAACTTAATGCTAACATAGGTATAATAATAGAAGTTTTTCCTTCGCCCATATTCATTTGCATAACAATGTTTCTTATCGTTGGATCGTCCGGTGATAATTTCGATTGCGTCATATGACGAGCGACATCTACTTGGATTTCGCGAATAGTGATGTTCATTTCTAATTCGAAAATCAACCATGGAAGATGTTTCGATGGCGTCCAATTGACATGCGGTGTGTTCGAGAGTTCTTTTTCGAATTCTTCTTGTTTATTGTGACTGACAAAATCTAAAGCTCTTTCGATTTGTTGTTCTACAGTCCAGTTGACCATCAGACCGCCGAGTAGTGTACGTTGATCTTTTGTCAGAAGAAGCGTTTCAGTAAATTTATTGAGATATTCTTCTTTTAACCAAATCTGTTGAAAAATAGATATAAGAATGGTCGGGTTAGTTCTTGGTACCAAACCGATTCGAAAGAATTGCTCATGAGAATGAGTAATGGACTCGATGAGTTCTTTCCAGAATTGTGCAGATTCTTGATAAAAAGATTGAAGAATTTCAATTAATTTCTCCCTCGAAGGATATTCTTTTTGTTCGGTCGCAGCGGCTTGTAGTTGTTTCCAACTCTCTGTGAAATGATTCTTAAAATAATTGCCAATTTCACTGAGGTCATTTTGCTGATCATCGATGGCAGAGAAAATATCGGCCGGGAACTTTTTATGCTGATTAATAGTTTCACGAGATATGATTGATTTAAGAACAAAGTCTGAATTCGGATAAAGATATTTTCGTTGTGCATTCAAAAGTAGTTTTTGATCGATTTGTTTGTTAGTTGATTTAATTTCTATTTGAAAATGATCTTCGATTGATTTTAGTAAAAACTGTTGAGGATAAACTGCTACTAAAGTCTTCAATGAAATTAGATGAGAAGAACAAATAAGATTTTGAACGTTGATTAGAAATGAACGAAGTTTACTATTTAAGTGCCAAGATTTTAATAGGAATTTTATTTTATTTTTCTCTTCCGAAGTAGTCAGATGATACTGATCTTTGTAGACATGGCCGATTTCAAAACAATGTTTAACTTCGTCTATAATCGTCTTACGTTCACTCGCACTGTGACCTATGTTGAAAACAATATCACTCATTGTTACCGTAATATGTTGTATGTTGTTATATTGAGTAAACGGGGGGAATACGACCGATTCCATTGATATAGTAGGCACATGCAAAACAGTGTTTAACATTTGTAAATAAAACGGTCGAATCCCTCGTTTACTAGATATGTACAGAAGAAAGTCTAACAACAATTCGAATCGTTGGATATCGTCGTTGATGTTACCAGTCTCTGTTGTTTTAATAGCGTCAGCTAATTTTAATAAACCAACCCAAACATTGGCTAATGCATATTCATCTGTGAGCCATTGACTCAAAGGAAAACATGACATTTTTGATATTTCCTTCAGATACACATCACCACGAGAATACATATCATTGACAAGTTGAATTTGTTCGTGGTTGACAATAGACGACGAATTATATCCTGCCATTGGCTGATATCGCTCTTCATTTCTTGTATTCAGCATTTCTGCTTCGATCTCTGCCGATAGTCGCGCGGTTGGATTGTAGGAATTTCGATAGTCCCAATATAGTTTTGCTAATAATCTTTCATCATATTCATGCTCTTCACCTAATTTTGTAGTTTCGTCAGGATACAATGATGGATGCATGAAATTGAATTTTTCACTTGTATGAATCATTTTTTTTGCTATTAAATAATAGCCACAATGTTGTAATGAATACGGTATACTGTGACAATTCCAATCAATCTTTTGCATACAACTAAGAGAAGAATGCCGATGGTAATTTGCTTTTGGCGAAATAAAGGCGATTTGACGAAGAATGTTCAAAGAAAGTGAATCGAATGGTTGATCAGTCCAACAACCAGCCGAATTAAGTAATTGAAAAGCACGCTCCATTCCAGTCATTTCTGTATATTGATCGGGTAGATGATGAGATGTCAACGCATGTAGTAATGCTAGATACAACCATCCACTCGGACAATCGGTTGATTGAATAATGCGTAATCGATCATTTAAACTGAAGACGAAATATTGATGAGCATAGGACATCGATGAACTTCGTTGAATAGTTACGGTTTGATGTTCACCGGAGGATTTTTGTCTCGCAGAGACATGTCCGAAAGGGACAATTAATTTTCGAAATTTAAAGTTTTCATCGCTATGAGTGTTGGCTTTTATTGGCGACAGGAGTAAACCGGAGTTCAAACCTGTCAGTGTTCCTATCCATTGATCTTCATCGATACACATATCAGAATATTCACGCGAAACAAAACAATTGCTGCTCATATTGTATTTGAAAGCAATAGCTAAACGTGACAGATGAATGTGAATAACAACATCAGTTTCGGATTTCTTTCTTTCAATAATATTCGAAGCATCATCGTTCATCATGTATAAATACGGTTGTTCGTCGAGCCGATGGAAATATCGTCGATACAAATTTTGAAACAACGATGACGAGCGATTGATTAAAATTTGTAACTTCAGAGTCTCGGTCGTTGTAACATAACCTGTTTCTATATTTAATACGTATGGCTTGTAATTTAGAAAATCCGGATCTTGAAAATGGATCGGTCGAAATTCGACTATGGGATTTTTAATATTTTTCCAATGACTATATTCGGAAATAAATTTCGCTGGTAGTTCCTTGTCAAAACATGTCGGAGGTATTAATTCGAATATTTCATTGGTTTTTATGTGCCGTTCGCAAACAATGAGACGATTTAATTGATCATCAAAATAAAATTCGTATTGAACTGGTTCATCACCAAAATTCGAATATCTGCTAATATATGTATTGGGCGCGGCAGCGATTTGTATTGGAAAGATATAATGTTCAAAAACGCGAATATATAATTCATTGGAGATAATTTTTTCCGGTAAATAACTAATACTCATACCGTTGACTAGAAATATTCCTTTCAAACAATTAATAGATAAACATGTTGATTCATATTGACCATCGTACCAACCATCATAAATATCGGTGTTTCGTTTCTTCCATTCACCGTCGAAACTAAATTCGGTTCTGATCACGGCCCAGTGAGTGACAGAAAAATCATTTAAACTTTGATAAGACGACTTCTTCAAGATTTCGGCTACTGTTGGCTGTATTGGTACTAATAGACGTTCAATGAATCGGATTAGATACTTTAGAAAATTACTCATATGCATGTGATTCTTGCTCAATATGAGATTTTCGTTCATATTAGTTGCTGCTTTCAACAATGAGATGATGTGTTGATTCGATGACAGTACACAAGTATGAGTTGAAAACGTTAATAGACACGCAATATTTACAGTCACCATAGCACGACGAAGATTTTCTATTTCATCAAAACGTGATGATGAAATTGTTTGAATACTTGTCGAAATCAAATCGATCCACTTTTCACCGATGCGACGACATTTGAGCGCTAAATCAGCGACTTTCTCTTCTCGGGTTGAATTGCACACTGTTAAAATTCTCATGGTAATTATTGTTATCACTACTAGTACTAGTTCGTTCTGCCAAAGTGATGTACACTCATCCAAATGACGATTCAATCGCAGGATCAATTCGTCAACGAAATGATCATCCAATAGTTGCCGGTGCGATTCCGGACACCATTTAGAAACAAGTTCATCAGGATTTTCTGTTACGGGACCATATTGTAATATAGAATGAATAATTAATATAGCTACACTTTCTTCACCCAGTGACAAAGAATCCAGTTCTAAAATAGTCAACAAATTCCACCATTGTAACCGATGGCCTGAACGAAATGAACCGAATTCGATTAGTTGGTTGGGTTTTAATTTTTGTTCCGTTTGTGAAAGCTCGGCAATAACTCGATTTTGTACGAATTGTGTCGATTCTATAGAAAATTGTAAATGTTTGTAATCAGGATGATTGAGTTGCGGTGTTAACAATCGACGTTCGTCTTGAAATGTAAGCGCATGAGTAGGTGACAATTCAACTTGAAGACTATTTTCATATAGAAAATCATCGATAGCTGCCAATGCAATCGATGGATCAGCACCATGACTTTGTGTGATGGAATTTGTAGAAGAAACCAACTTGACTTTAGAGTTATTTGGGCCGGTAAAATATGATTCTAATTTGTTTGAATGAGGACGAACTTTCAACCATTCATACATTCGATTGACTGGTTGCAGCTGAAAACGATTGGCAAACTGCCAAACGACATCTCGATAACATCTCACTTCAATTGGCATCCGTAATTCGAACATAACAGCCAAAGCACTTGCTCGTTTTGACGGTATTGGACATTCGTAAATGCTCACTCCAATACTGTCTGCTTGTTGTTCAATTCTACATCGACGACACTGATTACTATAAAGTTCACCGTAACACGTACAAGGACAACCGTTTATTGAATTCATAAGTCGAGTGTATTTGTCTTTGGCCTTCTGCACTTCTTGGATTTTATCTTTTTTGTCTTGTTCGGATTGCGTTTGGATTTTTCGGAGAATATTTGTCATCTTTGTCGAATGAGAAGCAAAATAAACGCCAAAACTATTTTCTGCTTCTATATCGGTTAAAATATCCGGATTTGATTGATGTGTAAATTTCTGGAAATAATCGTAGAGGCTGCGAGCTCGAATCATATCTTCACGATTTAGTAAAACTAAATATTCGAAAAGAACGATCATATTAGGAATATCGATGCAATGAAATTTCAATCGTTCAAATCGTTGATCTTGACATAACTTGTGATGCATGGCACAAATAATTGTTAACGACGTAAGAATAAATTGACTGTAACCAATGGGATCGGTTTGATCGTTTTTCGAACAGTAGTGTTTTAACGCTTGACTTTGGTAATGATCGAAAAATTGTGCTAACATTTGAAAATGTTCCGTCTCTCTTCCGCTTGATGGTGGACGATCGATCCATCGTTCTGACCACGATGTAGCCCAAATTTCCATACGGGTCAAAGCTGTTCCGATAGTAAACTGGAATTGATTCGTTAAAACGCTGAAAGAAGGCATGAAAGAGTCTTCTTCAACATTCGTTGTATCATCATAGTTGCGGAAATTAGACAATGTTGCATTTGAAGTTTTAGCATTGGTACTATTTAAATATTTTTTCAATGTTTCACAGGAATGTCTATAGAGTTCTGTGTCATTCAAGTTCGAATCGATCAGCAGTTGTTTTTCACTGATCCGAATCGATGATTGCCAATCCATCTTTGGAAAAATTTCATCAATTTTCTTCTGTATTTCATATATCGTCAATTGAATCCATTTGTTTACATCATTAGAATCTATTGATGACAGTAAACTTTCTATTTTATTCAATCGACGTAGAATTTTTCGTATACAATGAACTAATAGATCAACGGATACAACAGAATCCACCGAACTATGCCTCGTAGAAATAATGTGTGTTAAAAAATGAGTTATCAACAATTTATAAATGGCAACACCAATATGTCCAAAGCGTTTCGTTAGAATAGTTTGAAATACTACTTTGATAGTCATCCACAAACCCGAACGTCGAAAAGGTTTCGGTCCGGTGTTCCATCTGACTTGATCGCGATGCTTTTTGCTGAATTGAACCAAGGTATTCGAATTATGTTCTACTTTAATGCCTGGCAATCGCTGAATCCACCATTGACATACATAATGAGACATGGGTACATCCTTTGTTTCATTAATTTCACGAGAAGCTTTGTGAGCTTTTGAATATTCAATTGGATTCTTCATAAAATCTATTAATAATTCACAATGTACCGTCGTGCTGAGATATGAACGATCAAATAATCTATAAATTGTCGTCGGAAACCGGGATAAATGAGATTGAACAGATGATGTGACTGCATCAGTTGGCAATAGAACTTGCCAAGACGAAATTAATGCTTGATTGCTGTTATTTTCATCGATTTCAATTAAAATGGCAGCATTTTGCGCATGAAAATACAAAGGTAGAAAGCTACCACATGTTAGCTTTTCAATGGCCAATTGTAGATTAAATCCTGAGAGCTGATGCATTTTCTGTAGCATAGACCAATTTTGCGTACAATCGATCAAAACTTGAATGATTGGTAACATCATAGTCGTATCCATCGAATTCAAGAATTCGTCGACACATTCCAATATCATATATTCATTACGATGATTGTACCGAATGCAAAAGTCAGCTTCGGCAGAAGACGGTAGATAAAGCGGAAGAAATAAATGATTTAAAATTGATTCGTTCAATTCTTGAAATTGACGGACATTTTTACATCCGTGAGGCATACGAATTGAGATCTATTAAAATAATCAAATAGTAGACCTAAAAAATAAACAAAAAGCATTTGTGCAAGTATGCTGACAAGAAACGAACGAATATTTTTGATATCGATGAGACATTTATAGTCCATCAAAATTTTTCTTCGATATATTCTATTATGATTTCATTTGTTCTGAAGGATTTTCAACTGTTAGTAGCAGTCACATTAAATTCCTTACTTCGTCTAACCGTTCGTAATTAAACGAATCAATATCAAAAACTATGACTCATACATGTCAATGAGACAATGTTTGAGTCATAGTTTTATTTTGTCATACCCGCTGGCGTCTGATATAATCGACTATATTATTTCTTCGAGAAATCTGGCTTGTGACTACATCTGAAATCTAAACAATACTTTAGTTATCAGAATTTCGGTTCTATCCGCCTGTCTCTATATGTACATTTAATAGGCCTGAATTTTGGACACGTGTTGAATTTAGAGTTTCAACTCAATTACTCACGAATAAAAAACAATTTTCTCAACACAACTGCTGTTTTTTATTTCTACCTCGTCCTGCTATAGAATCAATAGTTAAACTTTTTCTCAACATCAGTGGCACACGTTAAAAAAAATTTTCTTTCTGTGTATGATTCTTACGGCAGAATTGAGCAATTGCAAGAAGCAATTGTTGTTATTAACCAAACGTTTCCGATTGGTCAGTATTATCTAGCGAGAAAAAGATTCGTTCGCGTCAGATGGCACAACTTCACAATAATAATAATGCATTAAAGGAGTGATTGCACAATCATTTTATACAGAGTAACGACTTTTTCTCCACATCAACCTACCGAATATTCATCAGTATTTACCAAACATTCTTCACACATTATTCGATGTATTACCCTTAGCGTATCCACTTCAATGATGTCAATGAGAGCACTAACCATGCGGAATTTATTCTAGTCTAATAATTCTCTAAATAAAAATATAATATGAAGGTATACAAAGCGGATAGCTTGGGAATGTTCCCTCCTGAGAATTTCGTTCGAAATAAAGTGATATTATACTCTTCTTTTAGTTGTTCGTTAAACAATATCGCTTTTCATGCTAGAGGCAATCATGACCGTGGAATCCGAATCTTTTATCAGCTTGTGAAATTGTGCATTCGACTTCAGTATAAGAAAATTCACGAGAATCATTCATTGAAGTATATTTTAATAAGTGAGTGACCAGGTGTAAGCGATGCGCCGACGAACCAGTAGCAGCTTACATATAGAGTTTAGTTTCGTTTAGTTTTCTCAGACGAAAGATCTGCATAAAAGCTAGGGTCCTGTTGGAGAATTGCAAACTGGATGTGGGAGTGAGTGTTACCGTTGAATGCTCCCATTCTCTTGACAGAAAAGTCCCAAAACATAATACACTAACGGAATTCTAGTTACCGAGCACTACTTCTAGCTGATGAAAGAAACTTGCAATCATTGCATCTTGTCCTGGCCAACATCATGTAGTCGATCGGCAAAGATGATTACATAAAAGAATTTTTGACAAATGGCTTGAAGTAATGCAATTGTTTGCAAATAATAAGGGCAACTGTGTTAGAGATTCGTGGAAATAAAATCCGAAGTAAACGATTTTTGTATTATTTTCCTTCAAAAATGACCTACTTTCAGTTTGTTCTAACAGTGCTCGTTTATATCAAACAATTAAAACTTGTTTTGACTCGCGATCGAACAAGAATCTTTCTTTGGCATGAACAAATATCGCCGCCAATGACTTTTAATCCTAGTGCAAGACAATGTTTAGATTAAGAACATTTTTCGTTTGTCTTGTAATCACTAATTTAGTAGTCAGATGAGAATTTTTTGTCATTGTAAGGGTTCCTTTTTTAAAACGAGAAATATCGTCATTCTTTATAAATGCTGATGCAGATATTTAGATTTATCGAGCAAAGTGGATGAAGCATTCTATCGTGGCTTCTTTTTATTAGCTTTCTTGTTAAAATAATTGGCAAATATCAATCCTATTTACTTAAACTTTAGTGTCGATTAAAATTATGAATAAGACAAGCAGACATAAATAGTTTACTGCCTACGGTTTTATTATTCATTCAATCATGTTCCATGCTGCCAGAGTGGCGGCTACTCCAATTAATTCATCATCACAACAATTATTTTATAGAGAAAGATCATATACACGACGATGGTAAATATTATCACGCTTTCATTCCTGTTATATATTTGATTGAATAATTTCACATCTAATTGTCTTCAGGCGAAGATTTGGTGCATACGGATGTGGACAAGAATGCTGCTGTTATCTGCAAATCTTCGGTGTATTAGCTATTATCCTAGCTATTGGTGCTGCTATCGCTGTTCCATTTTTGTTGATAACAGGAGCGTCTTCTTCTGTCACGACATTGGCATCCACAACCAGTACAGGCAAAAGTATATCTTTTTTTAGTGCAAAATATGGATACCAGTTACTGGCAAACATTAGCAACAAGAGAAAACCAATGGAATTGCTTTCCGATTACCATGAATGATTAAAATATGAGTGTGAGCGTATCTTCTCTTCACCCAAACTCCTAAATTGATAGAACTAGTTTATGAAAGAAACAACAAGTGAATATTAATATGGGGACAGAGAATTGAAGCAACAAAAAGAAATAACACTATGTTCTGGAAGAAAGAGAGATCACTGACAAAATGTAGGGGCTCAGCGTTATATTTTGCTCGTCAACACTCTGAAGCTATTGATTACAGACAGACAGTTAGCTTTTATCACATGGAATTTTGTATATTAAACTGATAATAAATCAGAAAAGGTGAGCTACAGGACGATTTTTAGACACATGAGACACAATTTTCTTTAAATACTACTTTACAAAAAATGAATTGTGTTCTGTTGGGATTCGTAGTATCAACAACAACGGCAACTACTGCAAGTACAACAACCAGTAGCAGTACCACAAGCACAACAAGTACTACAACTTCGACAAGTGTCACAAGTACAACAAGTACTTCGAGTGAGTTTTTCCTTGATACTATTTCGGCTCAAGATACAATTGTATCAATCAAGCAAGCATAAAAATATCATCATTGACCTCTCAGTTAAGAAAGTCGAAACCGAGGCAGTGATGACGAAATTGGCGCGCAGTATGGTGCTTCCTTTGTTTATTCTTCCGATACCATACATCTTGACACCGAAGACACCGTGCCGGGAGAAGGGATCAAACCTTCCCGTGTCTGATTAATAATAATCATATGCATAGAACCACTACGCCATCCCCGGTCCAATAATCACTGATACGTATATCTCCATTGTTATACGAACGTTTAATTCTTACTCGAATTATTCTATATTAGAGAGATGGAGCAAGATTTCGTGACACTTCATCTGTATTTTAGCTATTAGTTTGTTTGTTCTGGTTTAAAAAACATCATCAGTAAGAGCATAAAAAGCTCTCGAAATGATGAAAGCCCTCAAAAGGAAAAATCCTTAATGATTATTATTCTTGTATTCAGTGGCGTAAGTCAGGTCTCAGAGCAAGGGGGGGGNCCCCCCCCCCCCCCCCCCCCCCCCCCCCCCCCCCCCCCCCCCCCCCCCCCCCCCCCCCCCCCCCCCCCCCCCCCCCCCCCCCCCCCCCCCCCCCCCCCCCCCCCCCCCCCCCCCCCCCCCCCCCCCCCCCCTATTTACGCTCTTGCAACTTGTATTGCGTAGAGTTAGATGAGCTCTACAAAAACGAAACATTACCGAACAATCTTGTATTTTCAATGAAACTGTGTTAAAGAAAAATAACAAAGAGATGTGTCAAGTTTCATCAGATTATGCACTATCTTTGCTGTGAACATTAGAAGTTTCTCAGATAGGGTCTTAAGTAGTTGGTACAGCGAGTTATCGAATTAATGATTAATTTCTTGAAATCAACAAAGGAATGAAAAGATAAAAATTTGTGGAGTTCATATTTTTGGTGAAAACTCTAAATTGGAATGATCCGATAGAATCTGATAATTCATTTAAAAGGACTCATCTGTTCGTTTCAAATATGTAGTTATTCGAAAGTGGAACGAAACTCTATTGATAATATAATTTACTGATATTGTTCTATTGAAGCGAGCACCACTACGACTACTAACTCATGCGTCAATGGCACCTTCAACGCGGTTACTTTACTCAATCTAAACGTGAATTGTACTTTTCCTTGGACCCAGTACACGTTCAATTACACGACATTAAACGCCACAAGTATGACGCTCATGTTCGCGCTTCGCAACGATCCTTCATTTTGGATTCTCGATGATGTGTATGTATCTAGTAGTACAATACCACAGCTGTTAGTGAACGGCGGCTTTGAGACAGGCAATCTCAATGGTTGGGTCTATTGCAATCCATACAATGCCAATTATTCGGGATCCGTTACCTCACTCGTCTCTTATTCAGGCACTTATTCATATTTGGATGGATCCGTGGGTTATAGTGACTATTTGAGTCAATCGTTTTCTGTCAAATCGCAGAGCGCTTACTCAATACGCTTTCGACTCTATGCATATGGTAACTTCTCACAATATGCTTTAGTCACTCTATTCTAATGAACATAATTTTGAACGAACTAATATATTATTCATCTCATGTGATCAAAATCATAAATCGAACGCTTTTACAATGAATATTGACAAATAGAGTGATTCATTGCTCTTAAAACGGATGAGAAGATATGACTCTTTTCTAAGACACTAATAAATGAAATGAATATTCGCATGGATGAAAAATAAGCGTGACATTGTGTGAATTTTCGAGTGTGCACCACACCCTCAAAAACTACCGAGTGTATAGTAAAAGATACAATGAGCAACTTTAGATGCAAGCCGGAAAAAAATTCATTTGTTGTTAATATAGATCTCAACTATAACAGTAAAAGAGGGCTCCGTAAATGCAACTTCAAATTGTATTCCTTGGTCTAAAAACCAGTACATGAGGCTACAAATGCTAGGTTTATAGGGGCAAGCTCTCCGTGAACTACAAATTGTGTTTCCATTTGCGCATCTTTGATTCTGACAGGTCTCTCGAGTTGTCACGACACATAAAAGTCGACATTTACAGTTTTTGATTCATTCTCAAATAAAAAAAAAAGATCAAAATTCAGTTTATTTAATTAGAATGAATTTGCTTATGAGTGTATCACATGAAGCAGGCTAAGAGCTGCGATGAAATAGTCGAATACACCGTTGTATTGCTTTATCGAGTTCACTTTTGTAAGGTTTTGACGGTAAAATAAATACAAACAATGTCAACATAGATGGTAGAAAGGATAAAAAAATAGCCAATGAGATATGTTCAAGGTTGGCGCGATGATCTCATGCACTCAATGTTAAATGAAATAATAAGACGTGGCAAACCTAATAAAAACAAAATACTAGGAGCAATAATAATGTGTTTGTGTTTTTTGAGTTTCATTTAAAAATGCTTCTTAAAGGCTCGTCCTGATTCTACTTTAAATCGATTACGAGCTGCCACTATAATAATTGTTAAAGCAGATATCAAATTAATTGAAAAAGAGCCAATATAATGAAAGAGAGTAATAAATGTGTTGTATTTAGTCATTATAGGTGAATATGAAGATAAACACCATATTCGTTGTTGATCTTCATCTAAATCATTGATCAATTGGCGATGGAGGGGTTCATGAACATGTGTAAGCATGATTAAATTAATAGCAGGAAAAATCACTCGTTTGGCTATTGTTCTACTCCTATTTTTGTCGAACGACACACCTTTGATGACAGAAAGCATTCGTTCAATAGCCACACAAGCATCAAGCCATTCATTTGATGCTAAACAAGATTTGAGAATTACTTCAGTTGAAACACAATTAGCCAATAGTATTGATCTATTCGTTATGTATGACATTTGCGAGAGAACAAGTTGCCAAAATTTATATGTCAATAAAAGAATCATAATCATTGAATTAATCGATGATACTAAAAGGTAATAGCCACAGCCAACTTTTCTTGATTTTTTCAATCGAAATATTGCTACAGACCATGAACCCATAATTAATTCTGAAATCAACATAGTTGTAGTGATGATAATGCTGAATTTGACAATAAATGGTTGTCGGCCAAGTGAAATATTCGGTTTTATGTGATATCCGAGAATTGGATCGAGTGAAAAAATGAAGCCTTTTGTTGCAAATTTACATTCTCTTCCGTAATAACAGTCACTACAGACACAAAGGAATGTATTCGGACAGGTTTCATTGTTGAGAAAAGCTCGATCATCATTATAACAAAGATTTCTTCCACTACAATCATGTTGTACCGTATTATTAAATTAAAAACAATTTGAAAAACGATTACTATCACATATACATATGTAGTTTTCATCATAAAAACATATCAATTGAGAATGTTGACGACATAAAAGTGGATGAAATTTCACCCGACGTAGATATTCATAAAGACGAAAAGTCTCATTAAACAGATCAAGAACTGGATAACAACGATTTTTTGGTAATACGCGAGTTTGAATGTGTTCTGGTGGTATAAATCTTTCTCTTAATACCGTTAGATAATAATCGCCAACAGGTATTTGTATGAAAAGAATGTTAAATGGCTGTTGTACATAGTACTGTAACCGAAGGCAACCTTCTTTAGTGTAATTTTTCGTTGATGTGCACTAGTCTTTTATGTAAACATTGTATAGTTAAAAAAGCTTGTTAGCGCAGCTACTTTGTAGCTGAAATGTGGAACTCAAATATTACCTAAAAGAGAATACGCTGTTTAATAGTACTTCTTGATGTAAGAAAGTATGGTATAAACTATAGAACGGGTGAAAACCACCAGTCAAGTATTATTGGGCTCATTGATAGTGATCAGTATCATCAAAGAAGTATCAAAAAGCTTTTTCAAATTGTTCTTTTAATTGAACTAAATTGTTCTTGTTTCTAGAATACGCATAGCTAAACATAAGCGTCATTAGTCTAGAGATAGAAATTGACATAATGTTTCAGAAAATAACACTTCTTTCTTAATGAAACGAGTAAGAATAGAAAATCTGGTAGATATGTTCGATATTCCGGTTGTTTATTTAATCTGAATTATTCTCAAAGATCATTATAAGAATGAATATCAACTGAATTCGAACATTTTTCAAAAAGTTGTAATAAACTAGTATTGAAATACGATGAATTCCTGTATTAAACACGCAGTATCATGATGAAAATGATAATGATCACATTTTTAAACCAACGATATGAAAACACAATACATCAAGAATTCATCATCTACATACGCAACACTCGAGACTTCTTATTCAGAATAAATTCTACTGATGAAAAATACTCTTAAAAACTTTCACTACGAACATGATTTTGTTGCCCATCTGTAAAATGATTATTTCATTTCATCTTCTCTAGTAATAATGATGCAAAATTGATAACATCAAAAATAACTTGGCATATTACAGTTGTTGGTTTAAGATACTCGATCGGCATGAAAACAATCTCTTTGATTTCGTCTTTTTTTCGAATAGAATTTTTGAAGTAGCGCTCTATTTTTCAGTAGCGCTGTTTTCTACGAGTCGCTATGCTATCATTCTTTTCATATTTCATTTTTTTCGCATTTTTTTTTCAATTCGAATTCATCATCATTATCATCGAATGAATTGCCAAACTGCGTCTGCTATACGTAGGCGTTAAATCTACAGCAATAATCAATGATCTATTCAATACGTCGATGAACTAACACAAAATGATACATTTTTTTCCAATTAGAAAGACGACACGAACGTTTATATCGAAGCTTTTTGACTTACTACTTTTTTACAAAACTAGTTTTTTCAAATATTAAAAATAATTTTTTTGCACTCGTTTATGTCTGTAATGGAGAGGAGTGGGGAACCGCAAAAACGTCACCTTAAAACTTTCACTCACAATTTTCTTCGAAAATATATGCGAGTTCCAAAAAATATATAAGGGGTTGCCCAGTCTGACCGGATACCCCGATTTGTTTTTCGATGCATAGTCTCTCTTCGTTGATAAAAATGACTGATTTTTTTATCAGTTCTAGTACTGATATAGAGCTGACAATCTACTACACTTTCGATTAAATATCTTTTCTTAAACTAAGGGATTACGTATTTTTATTTCAACTATCAGTTAAATATATTTCTACACTGTAAAAAGAAAGGGTAGAATAATAAACCCTTTAAGGGTTTATGAAAGTGCAACGTAGACTAAACCCTTTTACCGTATGTGAAAAGTTTCTTAATCCCTTTCATATACCAAACGGGGAGGGGAGGGGAGCCGCAAAAACGTCACCTTAAAACTTTCACTCACAGTTTTCTTCGAAAATATATGTGAGTTCCACAAAATATAGATTAAAATATGTATTCTCGAGTGTCAGCAAGAAAAGTTTAAGAAAAAAAACTCCTGGATAAAGAACTCACTGAGAAGCAGAACGAATTAAAGGATATAAATGCGTACAAAATAAAATGCTTTTCAACGATGTTTCAAAGTCGTATTTTAAGTTGAAAAAACCTGTTGTAAATATAAAAAAAGAATGCATTTCAACGTGTTACATACACATATAACAATGCGTTTGAATGCGTTAGAGAGAGAGAAAACGAGGCGCTAAAACGATAAACCAGCGTTTTCTTCTAAAAGTTTGCATAAAAACGCTGTTTCATACGATTTATTTTTTCGTGGGTATAATAAAGATTACGTATAACTGTAAACTAATTTAATTAGATATATGCAGCTCTTTTGAAAAAAAACAAAAACAACTGTTTGTTTAATTTAAAAAATAATTTTTTTTGGGAGATAATTTCAAATCGATGTAAATAATTTTACATACATGTAAGTATATATTAGGCTTAATAACTATTGACGGTTTTAAACAGCTATAAGCTTTTCACATGCTATAAGATTTTAAATAGCTATAGGCACTTTTAAACAGCTGCATGCTTAATTAAAAAGTATCTCTTTTGAGCAGCGTTTTTTTAGCAGGATTGAAAAAAAGAACAGTTATGAGACTAGGATTAGAAAGAATAAATGCGGAAACATCGGATTTGCAATCGACTGTTATGTGTATACTTCAAAAGCTGAGTCGATTCATATATGTTGTGAATAATTCTGAGAATTTGTTTTTTTTGAAAAACCCTGTTGGGGGGGCGGGGGGGGGGGGGGGGGGGGGGGGGGGGGGGGGGGGGGGGGGGGGGGGGGGGG